GCGTTGCGCATAAGAGCAAGAGGATCCAGGCGAGATCTCTTCCTCCATTGCCGGTTCCGCGGCCCACCTCGCCGCTCCGCTTTCCAACCCGGCAGCGACAGCCTCTCCCGGACGCCGAGGGGAAAAGGGCCGCAGAGGCCCCGACGGCCACCACCGCTGCCCTCCGCCGCCGCTGCTTCCCGGCCATGTCCGGCCTGCCCTAGAAGGAGGCGGCGGGAGGGAGGGCGGGGAGAAGGCTAGTCCCGAAGCCCGGTGCGGGTCCCGGCCCTGCCAGCGCCAGCCCGGCGTTCGGCGGGCCCCGGCGTTCTCCCCATCTCCTCTCTCTAAGATGGCAGCGCAGCTGCCCCCTGCGCTGCGCCCCCTTCGACCGCGCCGGGCCGGGAGGTGGCACCAGCTCGTCCCGCTGCGCAGCTCCCCGCCACCGGCTAAGGCTTCTCACTTACCCGTGCTGGGGGCTGCGGGCCCAGCGCTCCGGCCCGGCTTCTCCCAGTCGAGGCCTCTTCCCTCGGGCGGCGGGTGCGGGTAGGGCGAGGAGAGAGCGCTTCTCCCAGCCTCGGCCAGGGGCCCCGGCGCGGCAGCGCCTCCCTCTTGTGCGCTCCGCAGTCCGGCCGCCCCGCCGCGCTCGGGCCCGCACGGCTGGCGGCGGTGCCGGTGCCGCTCGAGGCGCGGGGGGCACCGGCCGTGGGGTCTGTCCACTGCGCGCGTCCCTCTCTGGGCGGCGAAGAGGAGGGGGGGCCCGGCCCGGCGGGCGGATCCGCGGCGCTTCCTGGCCGGGCTGGATTTTCTATCGCTCACAAAATGGCGCGCGTTCCAAACCTGCGCAGCGCCCGGCGGCGGCAACGGCAGGGCCCGGCCTCACCTCGGGTCGGCGGCGGTGGTGGTGGTGGTGGTGGCGGCGGTGGCGGCGGCGGCCTGAGCCCGGCCAGGCAGCGCGGGGACAGCGGCGGGCGAGCGAGCGGGGGGAGGAGGAGGAGGAGGGGTGGGGGGAAAGCGCAGCGCCGTACCGAGCCCCCGGGAACTCCTCGCTCCCTCCCTCCCTCCTTCCCTCCCTCCCCCGCCTGCCAGCCTCTACCTCCTCCCTCCCCTCCCGCTCCTCCTCCCTCTCCCCCTCCCTCCTTCCCTCACGAACCGGCTTTGCCAGGCCGTCGCGCCGCTGCCGTTAAGGAACCGCCGCCGCTGCTTCTAGCCGGTCCGCGCCCGCCCGCGCGGGACGAACTTCTCGCGCGTCCCCGCCGGACCCTCAGGGGACGGTTGTTTCTTGGGGTGTTTTGTTTGTTTTCTCGTGCGATAACGTCTGTCGGGGTGGTGGTGGGGAGGAGAAGGGAAGGAGGGGAAAAAAAAAAAAAAAAAAGAAATAAACCCAGGGTTCGGGCGGGAAGAGGTTTTTTTTAAAAATAATTTTAAAAAAAAGGGTAACTGACAAAATGGCGGCGGGGCGAGCCTGTTTCCATGGCAACTGTCAATCACGGGGCCCGGGGCCCCACCCCGGCCGGGCGGGAGTCGGTGCTGACGTGGGGAAGGCGGGGAAGAGAGCGACGGGTGAAGGGCGGGCTCTGGTCGCCTAGGCAACCGCTGTTCACCCCCCTCCGCCCTCCGCTGTGTGACGGTATCCGTGCGGCCGCACCGCTGCAGGCCGGGATGGCCCCGGCGCGCCGGGCCATGGGGGAGGGGAAGCGCCAGGGCGGGGCGGAAGCCGGTAGCGGCGCTGGGGGAAATAGGGGGAGGGGAGCAGCTGCCCTTGTCCGTGTTGCACGGTGGGCGCCTTCACCGCCCTTCCCCTGCCCGCAGGGGGCGCCGGCAGCGCGGCGGCCCGGGGGAAGCGGGGATCTACGGCTCCTCCAGGCAAGGCCAGGCCGAGCGGAGCGGGGCAGGCTCCCCGCGCTGCCCGCCGTATGGGGAGGCCCCAGGAGGGCTTCGGGTTTCTTGAAGACCGCCCTGGGACGCGGGAGGAGCGGTGGTGCTGTGTCTTCGGGATTCTTGGGCACGGAAAGGTCCTTCTCGTCCCCCCTCTATAGTCCCTATAAAAAAGAGGAGAGAAATCCACCTAGAGTTGCGTCGCCTGGCAGGCGCGGTGTAGGTGTGCTCGGCCAAGGGAGCCTCAAGTTGCTGAGTGAAGGCTCCTTTCCACTTTCTTCCTATCTCAGTATTTTTTACCTCAGTTTAAAATGTGGACATAAGCAGCCAAGTATAGGGAGACAGGTGCAGCAACAGCCAAAGTCGTAAGTCCCCCAAATAATCGAAGTGTTGCTTTACAAGTGCAGTGTCACACACAGTTGCTGCTGAAAAGCGCAGCCCAGAGTCCCTCCACCATCAGCCACGCAGTCCCTTGCTCCCATTTTTCGACATCAGCAGGAATGCCAGCACAGTCAAACTAACCAAAACGCTCATCTGAAATAAAAAGTTCTCTGCATGGCTGGGAGAAATACTGGTGCACAGGAGACGGCAGGAACATGTGGCAGGAGAACTGTGGGATGCCCCCCACCCCCCACTGAGCAATACACGGTGTTAGATTAAATCATCCGCGAAATTGCACCTGAAAGCTGGTGGGTGTCTAGGAACACCATGATTTTAGCAGACATTGCTTATTTGCCTCAGCCCCAGAAAAACTGAGAGGTCACTTTGAGCTGCTTTTGACACTTCTCTCTTTGCCTGCAACTCAGACAGGAATGTGGTTCTTGCCCTGGGATGAAGAAAGCCAACGTGCATGTTCTGCAGCATAGCCAAGGCCCAGAGGATCCCGGGTTCTACACAGGGGCTCCCAAGCTAGTATCATCATATTCTGGCCTGGAGTACCTGCACACACGGTGTACTGTACAGGAAATCCAAAGCATATGGAAGGGCATTGGCTGCATGTGCTCAGCCCAGTTCATCAGTAAGGGAGGAAGGGCAGCTCTGCTCTTGGGGATCCCCAGGAGGACTTTGTAAACCTTGATAAGAATCATAGAATCATAGAATAGTTAGGGTTGGAAAGGACCTCAGAATCATCTAGTTCCAACCCCCCTGCCATGGGCAGGGACACCTCACATATATCTTTGTCTTATTAATATTGTCTTGATAATGAATAACCTGTACAGTTTGCTTGTACAACAGTACCCTCTGAAATGTCCATTTCATTAAAAGCATGTATACACACTACAGACGGTCTACAGCATTATCTGTTTAGGTCCTCCACAGTTGAAGTGTCGAAGCTGGTAGGAACAAGGAAGGAACAAGGCCATTGTGAACTGCGGTTCTGCCAGTCCTGCTCCAGCCACAGAACCTGGAACTGGAGTCAGCATGGACTTGCAGAAGTGGACTTGTGTCCTCTGGTGCCATTATGTTTAGGGCTGGAGTTAGGGATCTGAGTGTCTTCCAGGCTGGAACTCTACCAGAATCGTGCCTCACCTGGAAACCTGGCACATGGGGTGGGAACAGGACAGAGCTTGATCCTGGCCCTGGGAGCTAGGAGTCTTTTTCTGTGCAGCAGATACAGGTAAATTTAGGCCTAGCATTTGGGAAGTGAAGGTCTTCCAAGCTGGGACTCAGCCAGAATCTTGTTCCATCTAGGGAAGTTTTGTTTTGATTTTAAAACCAGGTCAGATCTGTTGTGTAACGCATCCCATAAATGGCTGTACTGGAGTAACCGAGAAGTTGGTATTGCATAGATGTGGGTGGGAGTAAGGGGCAGAACATGAAGGTACATTTTAACTGGTTTTGCTAGTGAACTCCATACAACAGGCCAAAAATAAATATGGCAGCAAGAGACATTACTTTCTAAGAGGTTAGCTTTGGAGAGAAGTAACTGAGATAATAGACTAAAGATGGAGCAAGGAGAAACAACTTGTGATCTGGAAGAAGGGGATTCAAATATTTGTTAATTTCTCCTACTTTGTTCAACATAACAATGTTATTGTATCTTTTTTTTTTTTTTTCCTTAAGGAAGGAACTGTCAAACCAGGAAAGCCTGAGAGTCCTTTTTTTCTTTTTTTAAACTCTATTAAGAAACCACCTAGAGTAGGTCGACAGTATTTCAGAATCACACTTGAAAATAGGAGTTTGCATGCATTCTTTATGACTTAGTAGGCAGGATCCTAAGAAATACTTGTTTTTCTTCTCCTGAGAGATTAACCCCTCAGAAAGCCGAATATGTTGGGCCAAAAGGAACAACAATAAGCAGAAAACTTGAGAGGGAAAAAACCTCCCAAAACCCAAACAAAAAGGCCATAAAAATGAGGAGGAAAGGATACAGTATGGAGTAATAAGATCTAAGAGAAAAAAAAAAAAACACACAACAGTCTAGAGAAATAGAACAGATGTAAAAGAAACAAAAATCAGTATAAAAGTTTTCCTAGTTCAGTAGGTACAAAGTGACCTGATACACAACATTCAAAACATTAAATTACAGTATCTTAATTGAACATAAATTTCCCTTACAGACAACCTCAGTTGACTCTTCTGCCTCTCCTTTCATTGTGACTGTGCTGAGAAACATATTCCTACTGTTTTCCTCTTTTTTTTTTTTTTCATCTGTGCTCTTAAAAAGTAGACTTAGGACCAGTGCAGAAGTGGTTGTAATTGGAACTTAAATAATTCAAGAGCTCCTCAAGGTGCAGGACTGCTCAGAAAGTATACTGTAGAAATTACAGGTTTCTCAGACTGATGGCTATTATTATTATTGGTATTAGGGGGGAAAAAGCACACACTTTGTCATCTAAGGGAAGAATGATACAGATAAATGTAAAGTCAGAAAGAAATACTTGTGTTCCTACTTCTCTTTTATCAAAGAAGTAGACATATCAATACATTAGAGGGGAAAGCTGAAAATTACATAGTATTAGTTTCATCCTTTGAGGCTTCTACCCAGTAAAGATTAGAAAGGAATCACTTGTTAAGTCTGTTTGGGTTTTAACTGTTTTTTAAACTTTTCTTCTGGTAGTGAAAGGATGGACTACTGGTGTGCTAAACATGGCACTTCTTGCATCCACAGTGGCCAGGTCTGCTCATTTATTTGTTGTTTTGTTTGCTGATGATTGTGGGCATAGTCTACAAGCCTGTATATGATGCCAAATTTATCTACCTGGGTTCCAAAATGTTAGAAGCAATAGGTACTTTTGGAACCGTCCTCACTTCCTGTGGAAGATTACTGGGACTTCGTAACTCCTGAGCTAGGAATGTCTACTCACATAACTAGTATTTAAAAATATCTTTTCAGTTATTCAAGCCAGTGTTCTGCCAATCATAGAATTAAAGCAGTATAGTTATGTCAATAGTAATTTTTGCAGCCTTCTGAGTACACACTGTATCAGTAAGACAGTCTCTACCATTTGGGGGATGAAGATGTTTTCTTAATTAAAGGGCTAAATACTTCCCAAGTCTATGGAAGCTGCTCAGTATCTTACCAGCTTGGATCCATCTATCCCTGCTTCAAACTATATATACTGATTTTGTTGTTTCACCCACACAGTTAACTGATAGTGGAGTGCAGTTATGGGTAACATATCCAGTTTTTCCCTTTCCAATGTTCCTACACTGAGTAGAGGGGTCTATTTGCCTCTTTACTGTATGTTCTGGAAGTCTTCATTCTGTGATCCAAACCCTAAAAAGCCCGTGTAGCCATGCAGTTTTGTCTTGGAGTGTGTGCATTTCTGTCACAACTCCAGGCTTCCTTCACACCAGTCATGGGCACTCTGACCTTTCCAGTACTTAGTATTTGTGCTTTGAATAGATGTTTCTGGCTAGATGATGTATTGTGCCAGTAGCAATTCAAATAATTCTTGGTATCCTGCATATCCTCTTTGAAAGTGGCCTTCTTAGGCCAGCAGACCCAGCTTGGAAGATCTTCAGAATATAGAAAAAAGGTGATGATGTCAACTGTTCTGTTAACTTGTGTTTCTCAGGGAAAGCCACCACATAGCTCAGTCCCTGTGGTACTAGGCCACAAACTGAAGTCCCAAAAGAAGTTCTTCTCTCTGGGTTACATCATTAACACTTCAGAGAACACCATGGCAGCACTCAGACAGACTTAATTCTAAATCAAACCATCATCTGGAGTGAGCAGCTTGTGTTTCGCCTGTCAAAAAGGTTCTGCTAAGTAACTAATGTGGTCCATCTCTTTTTAGGCCAGAGAGGTTGCCATGGTAACCTATTCAAATGTAGATAGATATGCTTTTGAGTCATCATCAGAGCCTGGCTTTGATAGTACAAGGTTTGGATTGACAGCCAGTACTGCATATTGTGTAGGTTGGCACGCCTCTGGACCAGAAGGTCCTGGAATTGCTGCTGTTGCTGCCGGATGAGGCTTGCTACGAAAAAAACATGTACAGCTCCCTGCATTTTCTCCGATATTCTCCTCAATGGCAGTCATGTATTCCTTGGTGTTCTCACTCTACAAAGAGGTAGGTTGAAGATCACACTCCTACGTATGACAAGTTCCTCAGTTTAAAAGTCCTTCCCCAAAACAATGGAGTTTTTTTGGGGGAGGAAGCCTCTGGGAAAGAGGCTGTGTTACTTATTTTAGGGGAAACTGTGTTACTTATTTTAGGGGAAATGTATACTTTGAAATAGTATCACAGAAGTCCTTCTGAAACCACTTTCCATGATAAATACATTTGTAGGAAAGCAGTTTCCTGTTAAAATCAGGCATCCTGAAAAATTGCAGTTCTTTAAAACTTTTGCAAAACAAGTGCTACAATGTCAAATGTTTCCCATCTGTGAGCTTCTTTACATCCTCAGTTTCCAACTCCTAGAGGGATCTGGTTTCCCTGTGTTTGAAAAAGATGAAAAAGACATTATGTTAATTTAATAATAAAATTTCACTCACATCCAGAAGGACTAGTACAACACAAGTCATGTCTCTAAAAATTTGTATTTGGTTCTGCTGATTGTAACACAGCTAAGTTGAATTTACGTACACCTGTTCAACGTAAAGCTTTTGCTTCTCTGTAGGAATTCCTGGAAGTCAAAAACTGTCCTCAACCCTGTTATAATCAGGTCCTTCTTTGGCAGCTTCTTTTGAAGCTCACCCAGTGATACAAAATGAAATTTCCTTACTCCAGTTGTGCAGCAGAACCTACCTCTTTGCTGGCTAAAATGGAAACTTTGTTCCTGACGTCAGCAGAAACCTTTATGTGCTCCCTCTAGAGGGATATTTCCTGTGAAGCTCCAACACGTGGTATCTGCAGTATCCAGACTTCACAAATCTGTTCAAGAAAGTTCTTAGAAGTACGTTCTACTAGGTGCCTACATAAGCAAGAAACCTCCTGCTAGCTAAGATTAAGAAATTGTGACAAGTTCTACATTACATTTCTCTAAGCTTGCCACTTAGGGCATTTCATCATACCTAGAAATCATTCTTTGAGCAGCACAAGCAAGAATGCTTGGTTGTCTATCCCTTTTTCCTCCCAGATCCTCTATCTCCTCCCAGTCCAATACATTATTTCAGGTTTTCAGATTCCCTTAGTACCTCAGACACTGAACTACCCCAAAGCTCCAGTATGTGACCCTGCACTATCTGTTGAGCAATTAGAACTGTAAACTGTGATTTATTTGGGGTTACACGTATAGAGCTTGGCCACTTAGCCAACCAAACAGAAGCATTAGCAGTTCAACTTGAAGAGTTCAGCTTTTCCCAAAGTGAGAAATGGTTAACTAATTAACCAGGATCAATTCTCAACCCTGCATCAGTTTTCACAGAACTTCTTTGAACCTCTTTTATTCAAGACCTCCGCCCAAGAAGGGTCTGTCAAATCACAAGGTGGCTGATCATTATTATTAAAAAAAAAAAAATTATGAGAGATGGGTCTAATCAAAAGGCAGTCCACTCAGTCCAATGAAATCAGAATGAAGAGTTTCTTTCCAGTGTGCCTTTACTGTGAGGGTGGTGAGACACCAGAACAGGTTGCCCAGAGAAGCTGAGGCTGTCCCATCCCTGGCAGTGTTCAAGGCCAGGCTGGATGAGGCTTTGAGCATCCTCATCTTGTGGAAGGTGTCCTTGTCTGTGGCAGGGGGTTGGAACTAGATGATCTTAAGGTCCCTTCCAACCCAAACCATTCTATGATTCTATGATATAAACCAAACCAGCTGTGTGTACATTACCTTTATTTCAAACTTGGATCCCTGGCTATCCAGAGTGTTGTGGCCCTTGAGTGTATTCTGTGGCACTGCTAATGTAGGCTAATTGCTATGTGGGCTAGTGCTCCTTTTTTGTAGGGCACACTTTCTAGGGGCCTGCAGCTTCACCTCTGTGAGCTATTCCAAGGAACTGGCAAAGCAGGCAAGGTTGGTGCTGACCTTATGCTGAGAATACCCCTGCCTTATCATGATCACTCCTGCATGCCAGCGGCACAGCCAACCAGGCCTGTGGTATCAAATCCCACAGGGGTAGTCCAGCCAGAATGGAACTACTAAAATAGCATGTCAGCTGCCAGGCAGTGTTTTTCTGCTAGTGCGAGGATATCCCTCAAGTATTCCTGCTATAGGCTCCCCAGGCTGGCTGTAACAGTCTGGGAAGGGCAGAATGCCACAAGCACCTGTGGGGGAAGCAGGTGTGGACACAAATCTGAAACCGGGGTGGGAAGAATAATGTCATATAAACAATTCGGTGCTAGCATGTCAGCCAGCTCACTCTTCCTGTGGTTAAGTCAGGTCCCAGTCCCCTCTAGAGGTGTAACAGGGGGGATGAGTCCAGAAGGTCACTAGATGGTTTGTGGTGAGTTAGGCTGACTTGACTCTGTTGGACCTTCCAGTTTTCCATTCCCATTCTTTTAAAGAGGCTACGGGGCTATCTATGTCCTAGCATCAATGTTAGTGACTTCTACCCCAAAGGGACTCTATTATTAAACTACTTGCCTGCTGAACTCACCTGCTAAGTTAAAAAAAAAAAAAAAAAAAAAAAAAGGTTTGGAGAAGTGTCAGTTCTCAGTTCTCAGGAAATCGGAAAACTTTGTGAGGGGTCCAGACCCTCCCCAGAAGAGTGTTCATTTATTCAGCAGAGATATGTTTGTGAAAAGACCTGACCAAAAATGGCTTGAACCATCCTCAAACCAGTTCAGGAAATCCTGAGCTGGGCCAGATGCTTGTGTTTTGGCAACACTTGCTGGGCAAGAACTGGCCTATAAGCGTTACAGAATAAATAGTTGAATAGTTGCTCTTTATTAGTGGTTTTCCCTTTATGGGAGTGTGTATTGGCATGTGTTGTTGCACTAAGGTCAGTTCCAGGTTTTATATATTGAGTAAATCTGTGGCAACACAAGACACACAGCTAGTACACAAGTGTGCTACAGCTGTCTGAAACTCCTGCAGTCACACTGATTTGTTTAGGATACGTTTACACAATGACAAAGTCGTAACTACAGACTGAATAAACTTGTGGTCAAGTGTTGTCAGTGTCAATGTATTTGGAGATTTTTAAATAAAGTCTTAGATCTAGTTTAAATATAAATGTCTAAAATTTGCATTTTGGCTCTTAAACAGTGGTTTAAGATGCTAAGCATGTTGAGCTATGTTTGACTTTATCCACCACTTCTGTCAGTCACATCAGCTTCTGTTATTTGTATGCAAATACTGTAGACCTCCTTCCGCTTACCTTTTTTCTGCACCGGTATTAATTGTGGAAGCCTTATACAATTATATGATGTATGGAAAAAAGTGTTTTATATTGGGGATGATGGACTATCAATAAGCATTGGTTGCATAAGTGAAGATGAGGTGTGGTGTTTGCTTAAGTGCTGTGAAACTTGATCGTGAGTGGAAGAGAAAAAGGACTTCTGCTTTTCTTTTGTTGCTGGGTTTTATGCATCTGCACTGGTGTTTTTTCATAAACAGTATTTTAAACTTTCACAAAAAATCTGTCATTCACAAGAAATCTGCCACTTTTTACATTGTAGAATGGACTGGGTAAAGGTGGCAAGTCTGTGGAAATGTGAAAGATTTCATTCAGCAGCAGCTGCTCATGAAACTCACTATGCCAGTGGCTGCACAAACCCACTTCTTTGTTCTCTGTTAAGTGCATTGCCCATAAATTCTTTCCCTTCTGGAGAATAAAATTAGCATAACTCCAGATAGCCAATATTTTTATGTGTAGTGCCCATCGAGTTTATGAATGCACAGACTATCATGCTTATGAGTGCACACATCATCGAGTTTATAAGCATTGCACATAACAGTTATGCTCACAGCACATAAAGTTTATCTCTTGGTGTATAAACTCAGTTATGAAAAACAAAACCTGAAAAATTACTTGATTCACATTTTTTTCCTTCACCTTCCAACCTGTATGTCATAGCAGGTCTTTTCACAATGAGGCTCAACTGAATTTTGTATGTATTGACTGAGGATTTTTTTCCCCAGGTATGTGAAATTGGGACTACTGTAGCCAAGTTTCAGGCAGAACATAATTTTTAAGACTTCCAGTTAAAAATTACAACAAAGCTAAAGAATATAGAAAATTCAAAGTGCCTAAAAACTAACTTGTGAATACTCACAGCAGAATCCTACTAACTTCAGAGAAAATCCCAAACATGTTAATTTTTAATTTTTTTAACACAACCTTATCTTTGCTATAGCCAAGATGTGTCTCTAGTAGCGTAAGTATATAAAAAATGACGGTAACATATCTACTCTGACTTGTAAAGTTTATGTGTATCAGTATTGAATGTAAATCCCATATTTCACACTTAGAAGTCTGAATTAATACATTTTCTGAAGAACCAGACTACATCCATTTAATAAAGTAGTAATTACACAGTGCCAATTGTCTACATGGGAAACTAATGATAGAATTATAGAATAGTTAGGGTTGGAAAGGACCTTAAGATCATCTAGTTCCAATCCCCCTTCCATGGGCAGGGACACCTCACACTAAACCATCTCACCCAAGGCTCTGTCCAACCTGTCCTTGAACACCACCATGGATGGAGCATTCACAACTTCACTGGGCAACCCATTCCAGTACCTCACCACCCTTAGAGTAAAGAATTTCTTCCTTATATCCAATCTAAACTTCCCCTGTTTAAGTTTTAACCCGTTACCCCTTGTCCTATCACTACAGTCCCTAATGAAGAGTCCCTCTCCATCACCCCTACAGCACCCCTTCAGATACTGGAAGGCTGCTATGAGGTCTCCACACAGCCTTCTCTTCTCCAGGCTGAACAGCCCTGAAAATGAAAATGTAATGAAAAACAGTGCTCAAATTGTCACAGGTACTTTATACCTGGAATGGACATTTCCTACATGAAACAGAGTACCAAACACTGTGTTACGTAGCTCATCTGCTTTATAACTGCTAACTCTCCCTTCCTGGTACTTAGCTACTCTAAACAATACTCTCATTGCTAGGTTAATGCCAGTGGTCACTGAACAGGGCAGTTCCCCAATACATTGAAAAGCCAGCTCCCCTGATCAAATGGTCAACTAGCTGAAATAAGATGTATTTGAGTTGTGCTATGGGAAGTTATTTACTTTTTATTAAACTAGACAAAGTCCTAATATTACAGAACATCATAGGATGTATCTAAGATGTAAAGCAAGACCTGCCAATCCTAATCCAAAAAGCAAAGCAAAAGCAGTATTTATCAAAAGAAGCCTGATGCCCGAGACTAGTCTTACAGACACTTTTACTGAGGCTGAATTCCTATCTGTACCATCTGACTCTATCATCTCCTTAATCTCAGAGATCTCGTCTCCCCACCCCCCTCCCCATTTGTACATATCTCCTTGCCTGCAGTAACCCTGCTCCTTGTCCTCTCATATTCAGTGAGTTATCTGTCTCCTCAGAACCTCAGCAGCAACAATGCTGAAGAGACAGAAGAGACATTCTCTCCACTGGAGGTGTGGGTGCTGGAGCAAGCAACTTGAATTAGTCCGCTTCTGTATTAGTTGGAGAAGCAGGAACTTTGGAGAAATCATCAAAGTTTCTACTGTGCCTGGGCAACTGTCATTCTTTAGACATCTGTAATTTTGCTTGGAGATGATAATATGAAGGATTGTCCTCTTCTGCCCTGTGGAGAGAATCAAGTTTGTTTCTAATAGGTCTCAAAGTCAGTGTTCAATAAGCCAGGCACAGAATATAATCAACTAATACACATGGTATGTAGTCACCGAGACCAGATTCTCTTGTATGTAGGATGCAGAACCATATTCTACATATGTGGAATGCATCGGGTGTCTTGGACATGCTGTACATGTGTGCACAGTGGTCAGAGCCTCGGGCACTCATAATATGAAATCTGGAGTAAACCTGAAAGGAACAGAACTACTCTGACACCAGGGCAGCACCTATATTGATTAAAATCTGGTTCCAGAGGACTGAGTTTTCAGTTAAAAGTTTAAGGGTTGTACACAGATCTAAAAGAACACATTTCTTCCTAATTTCATCCTGAGAAACAGCTGAAACCTTCCTGGACTTGTTTTTTGTGGCTTTTTTTTTTGGGGGGGGGTGGGAGGGGGTGTTGGTGTGCATTGGGGTTTTTTGTGTCCAGAACATTCAGGCTGAGTTCAGGCTCAGGCAAACATCCAAATAATTTTTATTTGTTTGTTTTCCATTGTTTATAGGCTTGCCAAGCTTTAACTGTCCTGTGTGTTGCATCAGGCTGACACCTCCTCCCCCCTTTATTTTTTTAAAGGGGAAGGAACAGGAAGAATTTGGGGCATTTTAGAAAGAGTAGTATTTTGGTGTTGGAAATTTATAAGCAACTGGAAAAACAAGAGCAAGTTTAAAAGGCTGGAAACATAAGCAGCAAAAATATTTCTAGTTTAGATTTTCACAAGAAAAAACTGTCTTTTTTCATGTTGCTTTCCAGGGTAGTAAAAATCAGTGTGTAATAAATTATGGCACATATACAAAACTCTGCGTCATAATTTTTACACAAACCCCAGATAGCACTAAGCATCATCTACCTCTTAGCCAAAGAGACAACAATATACATTTTTTTTTACAGGCAACAGACACGTGTCACTGTATGGGCTCCACAGAAGAAAAAATTCAGAACTAGGGAAGTTTTCCAAGCATTTGTTGTTCCTTTTCCCAACAGTATCATAAACTACGAAACAGGGCTTTCTGCAACAACTTCCAGTTGCATCTCAAAATTATGACATTGACTTTGCCACTGTTAAGTTCTGAGAGAAAAGGTGTTAAGTCACTGCTTCTTCCAAGCCAACAGAAGCAACTGAGAGATTGAACATGACTCCCACAGTACACCTTCTTTTACATGTTTCATTTTAGGGTTAGAAGAAGAATATTATCTAATTATTTATATTATTTAGAACACTTATTTATAATATATATATTTATATATTGTTTATACTATGTATCCTATACATTAATGATATCCTATTAACAGTATATGGTATTATCTATTGTAAATATAATATTTAAATAAAATTCACCTATTCAAGAATTAACCATATTCCTAGTCAAGTGACAAGGTTTGTGTGTGACACTGATTTTACACACCTGTGATAGAGACTGCAATTAAGTTCTGGAGTTTACATACCACTGATGGAGTCACTATCCCTTCCTAGATGTCTGATCTTCTAAATGTGGTCATCTTTCCAGTGCCCTGCTAGTGTAGGGAAGACACAGGGCCTGGACCTGCCACCTCCAAAATGGCACAGCATCTGCAACAGAAATGTCAGTGGCAGAATGAATAGTTAGAAGCAAATTTAAGGCCATTACTAAGGGTGTAAGGTAACTTTGTGAGGAGCATAATCAGCACTACAGCAGCTTGATATTCATATAGGACTGTAAACGATTTTAGCTATATATAACCTAGAATGAGTAGTGTTTCTTGCTGCATCAATACAGATATTTCAGTTTTAAATATCTCCAGCATCAAAATAAAGATTTATTTTCTTCAGACTTAGATTGTTTTCCTTAATGGTGCCACAAGCCAAATTTCATCTTTTCCATCATGATTGTGTGACATTTCAAATGGTGACTAACAGAAAATGTATTTTCCTTATGCTATATAAGTAAAAAATAACTGATTTTGCTTAAGTTTCCCAGTAACTCTCTAGTTGAAACAAAGCATACAAAGCTCCAGTGCAAAAGGATTTTTAATGAAGAAGAAGAGAAAGTAGAAAGGATAATCAACCTTAGCTAATACAGTTCAATGCAGCAAGCATTATAATCTGGTGAATGTGCAACAGCTGATGAGCAAAGATGAGCATCTTTGATACAGTCTGTTTTCAGGTTACCTTTATGCAAATGAATAAAAAAGGTTTCAATTCAAGCTGCATTGAGGTAATATGTCCTACCATACACGCGTAAGGAGAGAAGTTGTGAGCATACAACCACAAAGGGGGAAATTACACTGGCTTCTTCTCATGATACAGTCATGCTCCCTCTTGCATTCTTACCTCCCACATTTGCACTCTTGTCTTTTCTGTTTCTCAAAATGGCAGTGGCCACCTTAAAACCAAAACAAAACAAAACAAAAAAGTATTTTTGACAATTCATGAAGATTTTCCTTTTATTTTTGGAGAAGGATCTTGAGGTGCCTCTTTTTACACAAGGAGGTATCCTTTTTTCCACCATGTGCTCGCTCTTTCTTTTCTTGCTTTCTAAGTTAATTTTCTCCCTCTGCTCAGTGATACACCTTTGTAGCTAGCAGCTGTCCCAGTCGTCACCAGCAGAACACTCAGACACCAGCATGCCTTCCCTGCAGAGGGCTGCTGTGAGGTGTTTACACATGGGTGACCTACTTCAATGTGTAACTGGTTTTGACACTACTTTCCAGCTATATGGATTAAGATTTTTAATTCCTGAAGACATCAGTGTTTCTCCCAACCTTTTATGACTCTGATTATAGTAAAATAAAATCCACCACGGAGTGTGTCCAAAGGAGGGCGATGAAGATGTTGAAAGGTCTTGAGGGCAAGACTTACAATGAGCAGCTGAGGTCACTTGGCTTGTTCATCTTTGAGAAAGCTCAGAGGTGCACTCAACAGTCCACAACTTCCTCTAGGGGGGGCAGTGGAAGGGGAGGAGGTGCTGATCGCCTCTCCACGGTGACCAGCGATAGAACACAAGGAAATGGAATGAAGCTGTGTCAGGGGAAGTTCAGACTGGACATGAGGAAAAGGTTCTTCACTGAGAGGATGGTCAGTCACTGGAACAGGCTGCCCGCAAAAGCAATTATAGCACCAATCGTGTCAGAGTTCAAGGAGCACCTGGATGATACTTCTAGTCACATGGTTTAGTTTTCGGTAGTCCTGCAAGGAGCAGGTAGTTGGACTCCATGATCCATATGGGTCCCTTACAACTTGAGATATTCTACGGTTCTGTGATAATGTTAAACTTCATGGTTTCTTAATCTTCTCTTTTCTATAGTATTTGCCTGACAAACTGCAATATTTGGAACTTCAAACTCATCTAATTTGGTATCTGGTTTCCAGCAGCAGCCAATAAAGGATGCCCAAGGAAGAGCTTACAAACAAAGTAAGCATGTTATCTTCAAGCATTACCAGTGTCCAGTAATCCGTGGTTTGGAGGTTTCTACAATGTGGATAGTGCGGGATGTTTTCTTATTTAACAGTCCTTATATTTAATGGACTTTTCTTCTGTTAATTTGCCAGTTGGGTTTATCTCCTAAACCCTTTGCATCTTGCAGCAACATACAGTATCTTGCAGCAAAGATTGCCTCTGCTTACAATCATGTAGAGAACACAACTTTTTTGTTTCGAACATGCCTCCTACCAGCTCCATTAATATTCTTAGTACTCATGTTGCAAAACAACACTAAGTGTCTCCATCTTCATCTGTTCTCTGCCACTGGTGATTTTGTAGACCTCTGTTGTATCTCCCCATAGTCATCTGTTTTTTTCAGTGTTAACAGCCCATAGGTATACCTCATACAGAACCATTCTGTTTTCTCTGATTATCCTTGTTAAATCTTTTCTGAATCACTCCTAGTTCTATTATGCTTTTTTTTGAGATGTGAAGGAAAGAACTGTACATACTATTTAATATGCAGAGAACTATGGATTGATACTGGGGTGGATGTGCTACAATGTTCTAGTTTGTTCTGTTCCACTTTTAATAATTTCCAGTATTTGATTTGCTTTTCTCAGTAAAAGGGAATATTGTGCTGATATTTTCATAGAAATATTCATTAAAACCCAAGGATCTCATTTCTGAGTGGAAAATCAGCTTACAGCCCATCCTTGTATATATAATTTATTTCCCTTGTGCACTACTTTACACAACTGTATCAAATTTTATCTGCTATTTTATTATCCAGTCACTCAGCCTTGTAAGGTGTCTTTAGTTCTTCACAATCACCCTTTCAACTGCATCACAATTTGTCCTCTACCTTTCCTTTACCTGAATAGCTTAATATCATTAGCAATCTGTGATATTTCACTGCTCACCCTCTTTTTCTAGATCATTTATGAGTACATTAAGCAGCACAAGTCACAGCACAGGTCCCTGCAGACTCTTCTTGTGATCTCCCTCTATGAAAACTGACCTTTTATTTCTGTTTTACTTCTGTTTCCTGTCATTTAGCCATTTTTTGATCCATTCCTCTTGCTGCTTCTTGTTGCATAAAGATGCATTTTTTATTTATTTATTTTTTTAATGATGCTTTGTCTGGGAACCTCATTGTCCCTACAAATCCTGGTAACTATTAGATCTGACATCTCCCTTGTCCACATAGATCTGTAATCCTTGATATAATGCAACAAAAGCTATATTGTCATATTTATTATGCGTACAGTGATTCTGCTCTGTAGGACAGATATTACTTACTCAGCATAGACAACGCAACAGGCTCACTTGTGTGTAGTTGCCTGGGTCTTTGTGTTTGCCTTTGCCACCTGGTTAGCAGGGAAAGGCGACACACTGCAGTTAGTAAGTCAGCTCTTTGATACTTGAGTTTTCTTAGAACTCCTAGATGTAGTCCACCTGGTCTCTATGATGTCTTGCTTATTTTATCTGCCTTGCAGTTATGTTTGAGACAGATATGCTAAATGCCCCATAATGCCAAGTTCCAGCTGTTGCACTGTGAACACAGATGCAAGAACTTGAATGTAGTCTTCTCTTATGGTCTTGCTTTCTCTGAGTGTTCCTTTTACACCTTGACGATCTACAGGGCCTACCCACTCTTTGGCAAGGCTTCTGTTCCTGATACTGCTTGGGTTTTGGTTTGATTTTGGTTGGGCTTTTTCTCATGCCTTGGCAAGTCAGTCCTCAAGCTCAGTTGTGATCTGCCTATCATGTTAAGGCAACAGAATTTATGAACTCACAGGTTTTCTGCATTTCCAAAAGTTTCCGGAAGACATCTTCTCCCGTCTACTAACTTTCTTTACCTTGTTTAAGCATACTGGCTTCCTCTTCTTCTGTGCCTTTCTTTATAATGTTCTGAGAAGCTGGAGTAGCCGCTTATTAGCAAGAGGATGTAAACTAGGTTTCTCTTAAATACCAGAGAATAGGCCTAAAGGCCAGAATTCACCTTGCAGAAGAGTTACTCTCCATCTTTCTGCCAACAGAAATTTTCTTCTCCATAATTATAGGACTCTTTCTCCTCTGACATTCCTAGTCAATGCCAAGGCCTCTCAACCAGCAGCTGAGGATTTCTCTGCAATGTTGAGAGATCTAAAACTGGAAAATAGAGTGGTTTTTAAAGAAGAATCTTATCCATATACTTGCTTTATTGCCTGTGAAAATTATTGGCTAACTTTACTGTGTACATGTGCGTGTGTCTATATGAAAGTTAAAAATGTCCATACTGTTCCTTACCCTATTTTAAAATACTGCCATACAAACATTAAAAATGCATAGTGTCACTCAGCATTTTCCGATGGTATCTTTTAGCCACCGTATATAAAATACGCCAAGAAAAAAGCTATTTTGAGGAACAAGCTACCTGGTTTTGCTTTTATGTGACAAGAAAACTGAAACCGATCTGTGTACTATCTCAGCTAGCTCCCCAGTCCAACAGTCAGGATAGTGAGGTTGTAAATATCCAGTCATTAACAAACCTTAAATTGCATGCCCACTTACATACTCCTTACAACTAGCAGAAAGAAACAACAGTGGATAAAAACTAATCCATAAATTGTAATTTTAGATATGGAGGTTTAACAGCTATTTATATCACATTACAATGTAAACACCTGAGAATACTGATATCAGGTTCTGATGTTTTTTTCCAGTCCAAAATCAATATTTAATAAAAAATAAAGAGTTCTGTTACATTAAAGTCTCCTTTGAGGCCACTACAAAACAGCTATGCAAAGCTGATTGATTATAAAAGCTGATGTAAAATGTGCAATTTATATTGCATTATTAGCAAGCACATATGCTCATTTCCTGAGAAAATACAGCAATTTCTGTTCCTTTAAGTGGTTGCTCTGACCCAAGTACTGGGCTTGATGACCAAAGGAATAAAAAAGTTACCGAGATCAAACTAGTGGGTTGATTGACCCAAGATTTTGTTATCTACATAAGACTTGTCATATGGAATATCCTGCTCCCAGATAAATTTTGGGGAAGATTTTCTGTTGAATATAATCTTGGATACATTCAGTATCTATATAAATATCAAATTATTTTTCAAGTCCTATCAGCATTCAGAAAGTTAATTTTACACATTTATCATGTGTGACTTAAATATTATTTTAACTTTTTTTTTTTTTTTTTTAACACTGACTACTTCAATTTATTGCTGCTGGCAGAAGTTTCAGTAGGAGAGTGCAACTTTCTACTGCGTTTACATATTTCTACCATGCTATAGTCTATCTGGCAACTTAACAAACAGTTCCTTTGCACACAGAAGTCTGCAAATTTTACTATTTTGTTAAGAATTTCTTTTTCCACATTTTTAAAGATATCAACTTGCACATTATCAAACACAATCAATCCCACAACACCCAGTATCAACTTTTTGCACTACAAAAAGTCACCATTTATTTCCATGGGTTGTTTTCCAATCCTTAAGTATTTCTTTTTCAGGATAAGGCCTCACCTGACACTATTTTATTTTCCTGACAGACTATTTCAGTAATTTTTTAAATGTCTGTATCACATGTTTTGTTTCATCTACTGTTGGTTGTCAGCCCCTGCATATGTCATATTATTTTTTCGTATTTGCTAATTCTTTTGAGAGGGGAGTAAAGCTCAGTGTAATTTTCAGTAATTTCAAGCCCTTTTTAAACTATCTAATGACATTTATTCTAAGGTAATTCCTTTAAAAAATGTGCATGGCAAATGAGTTAGTTCATTCTTCAATACCTTTGAAATTCCTTGACTAGTATTACCTCATTTATGGAATTATATGCATTTAGTTTCTTGCCTTCCTATCACCATTTCCTGCTTTTTTCAACACCTCAGCTTCCAGCACTGCTTTGTTGCCTGGCACAATAAAATTAGGTATCTATCTTGACATTTCCTGTAACACATCAGTTTGCAGTGGTTTTACTCTCTTCAGAAGAGTCCTCATCATGGTGCCACTGAAGTTAACACAAAAAACTCTATAGGTTTCAGTATCTCGGAATCTAGTCCTTGTTCTTTTCACTTTCTAGTGGCTGAATATGGTCCTTAATTAACATGGACAAAGAATGCACATCAGCATTCTTCTACTCTACTTAGGTCTCTTGTTTCCAAGCCTTTAAGCATTTACTTTCATTCTACCTCTACCTCTCAATTTTAACATGCTGTACTGTTTGGCTTTTTTTTAGACCTTTTATATGGACTTTTCCTCAGCTTAGTTTCATCTTGACTAGCTCTTTCCACATTCACATTTGAACAAATAGGTGTATTTTGTTGCCTTCTGTAGCCTTTTCTTGTTTCTATATATGATATGCATAGTTCTTTTAAGTCTGATATACTTTAAAGGGTAAGTTTTAATGAAAAAGAATTTTCCGTGCAATGGGAAATGTTTTAGAAAACATTAATAAGATTTAACATGTACATAGTCCCTGTATGTGGTACACAGATTTTAATTTCATTATCTTCCTTATTTCTGATGCATTCAGAAACACTACCACTTATGTGTCACAGTGCTGGGATTTGGTATGATTTCTCCACCAAAGATAATGAATTTCAATATGCTTCCTGTTGTTTAGTGTATCAATTACAGTTATTTCTTCAGCTAACTCCTTTTTTAGTTAGGAATAAAGAATAGCTTTTCCATTCATGTGCGCTAAAAACAATCTTCAGTTTATCAAACATATATAACATTATAAAAACCATGTAGTGCTCTCTGAACTTGTCCAATAACGAACAGTATTCGGAATTACTGTTTTATTAGACTTTATTAGACTTAATAATCTCTGATCTCTTTCAGTAGTATATACTCCATATATATATACATACTTGTCTGATGGCAAATAGTGAACTTTCAAGTACATTTCTATTGTGACTCTCTATTACCTGTACAACTTCTCCCATTGGATTCCTGAAGTATACCATTGTTGTCTAAGCAAAGATTTCAAAACTATTAAAAAAAAGCAGAAACCCCTATGTTTCAGCTTCCCTATGGACATTTACCCAAATTGCACAGACTAAATTTTGCTTGTTTCAAGTTATGAATGCTATCATTCTACACCACTTAGTGTGTACATTCATATCTGGGTTGAGGCAAATATAGAAGCCTGATTATTCTGAACAATTTAAAAGTATTTATTAAAATTATGTCCCAAAGGAGATCAGTTTCATGCATAAAACAAATGTATGTATCTCTCCACTGAAGTTAATATGATTTTTCCATTTAGTTTCAGTTCAGGTTTATGTTACCTGAGTTTCCTAGTTCAGTTCTGGTTCAGGCTCAGCAAAACTCAAAACCCACTGAAGTTCAAAGTTTGGGTTTGGTTAACTTCACCAGCAGTATCACATCCAAGATGAATTCAAGCAAAGTATGTAGTCTAGTTCTTTGTGATAAATTCAGGAAAAAACAGAATATATTTATTTAATCTTATTCTCACAGCTGAATACAGCACTGCATGAATTAACAACAGCAGTTATAGAAATGAAGTAATAAAGGGCTGTCATATCAAAGTAGCTAGTGCATTTCTAAATTAATTCAGACCTCCCAAGTAAAACTATGTTAAAGAAAACCAACACCCCCAAAATAATGAAAAAATTAAAAATTATTAAAAAAAAAAAAGAAAAAAGGGGGAAATAAAAGAACTACTTCAAGGGAGGGAAATATTCAGTATGATCTTGTCATTAAAAATGCATATACAGTGAGAACACCTGAGGACTGCAGAATAACCCTACCATAATTACCTAACCTGTGATTCCTCAACTTGGGAATCTAACTAGCACCTCCAAATTCCTAAAAGCTGAAGAAACCAATAAAAATACCTTCAAAACTCTGCTACATGGCACAGCAGTGATCCACATGCACATAATCTGTTGGGAATATAATCTTCATCACAAACCACTGCTGCTTGAATTGCCCTGTAGCAATCCAACCAGATGAGCTGCCTTCCCACCTCCAGCCCACAGGCACCAATATTCCCCTGAGATGCCCCTTAATCCCTTTTCCCTTTTCATTCCTTCTGCATTTCCAGCCTGGAGCATGGCTGGGGCAAACAAAACACAGTTGCATCTTCCTGAAGGCCCTCCCAAACACTGGTCAAATGAAGCCTAAAAATTTTCAGTCTCTCCATTTGTCCATATTTGGAGTGGATTTTTCAAGTGGACAGAAGCAGCACGCTCGTGACAATGAGAGAACTCGGTGCCAAAATTCAAGACTTTGCTCTGAAGCTTGAACTGTTTAACTTATTTTGCTGAAATCTTTCAAAATAATTCAGCATGAGGTGGATACTCAGTAAAGAAGATTTGTAACTTGGATCAATCTGAATAAATCAGTTCCTAAAGAAATCACTTCTAGTTAGGCCTGAAACTAGTAATAGGACAGAAAAAAATAATACAAGATATGGTCACTAGATGACTCATGATCTTCCCCTCAAAGAGTTAGATTTTACTCTAGTAAACTTTTTTTTTTTTCTTGTGATAAAAATGGTCAAAAGGGGAAGGGATGATGATGATAAAGGAACAATAAAAATTGGTGTCAGATTTTGTCAAGCTGAATTGATGAGGTTGGTATGCGGCTTGGGCATCTCTTAGTCACTGTAACTAGTATCAGCTTGGTCCACGCATTTAGAAACATTGCTGGCCACATCTGCAAATCTCATTGTTTTGGCCAACAGCCTTAATAGTCCACCAGAACATACCTTGCATTGGCGGTCATAGTCATGAGGGAAATAACCAATGCTGGCAAAGAAATGCACTATGAGTATTTAACTGTCAATAGAGAGAATGTATTTGGATGCCGCAGTCCTTGGGAGCCAGGGAGCTCCGGAGTAGTTTGTTTGTGATGATCTATGTTGCTAGGCAGATGGGCAGCTACAGCTTGTACCAATAGGAGCTTTTTCTGGACATGAGACTTCAGTTCCTAGAAATGAGTAACTGAAGTACCTTTAAAAAGAATGATAAACACTTGATTGTGAAAAATAGTTTTCTGAAGGCAACTATACTGCTTAGGCTGGTATTTTTCTATTTCTAGTTCTCCTTTGTCAGGGTAAAAAATAAAAATAATAAAAAAAAATCCCTCTTTACCTGCCTCACAGTAACCAGTACCTAGCTATATGAGGCATGCTTTGATTACTGACATTCAGTAAGCAAAGTTAAGTGCTCCTTTCTCTTTACACTGACCACTTTCATTCTCTCTTCTCTGAAACTAACACTCAGGAATGACTCACATCTCTCACTTCTTTCCCCAAAACAAAAGATGCTCCTAATTATGAGAGTATGCACTGTTTTTTTTTGTCAAGCTTTCCATAAGCACTCAAACAGGAAGAAGGCATAGTGATGAGGTGGTCTTCAGTACTGAAGTGTGCATAGGGGTGAAGAGCAATAGGACAGAACCATCTTCTTGGCTTCATGTAGCTGAGAGGACAGAACGCAGACACCAGACTGCTTCATGTAAGCTGTGAGCTCTTCCCTCCTGTTGCTTCAGGAGCTCCTCCATGCTCAGGAATGGTCTCTGCATGCTGTTGCTAGTGTGGTACTCCCACTACTGACAGGGGCTGAGGATTGTTTTTTTTTACCATATGAAGCTTAAGAAAATGTATCTTTAGATTGCTACTTCTAAATACCAATCTTGAAAAAGCACAGTTATTTATAAAGAACAGAGAACAGCTTCTTCATTCTCCAGTTTCTTCTAGGTGCATTTGCATTACCTGCATTCATGGAGAACAGTGATAAACATGCCAGGGGACGTCCTCAAACTCCAGTCAAGAGACCCAGCTCCAGCAATCAGGCTTCAAAAATCCGTAATGCCACCAATGAAGAGTTCCATGAGTGCCTATCTTAGGCCACCTCTTTGGAATTCTTGGAAGACAGCATTCCAGAAATCTGTTTTGACCCTTCAGCTGTACATTTCATACACATTTGTTAGAGTAGAGCCAGTTTACAGTAACTGTACTGTCCACTTCCACTTTCTCTTTATTCTGGCTTTCAGTGGTTCCATTATTTTGATTGCTAGTACTCAAACCCCAAAAATATATCACAATCCTCTGCTCCTCCACCAAACTATAGTTTAAGAACGAATTAGCAAACTCTTGCCTTTTAAAATTAGGCAAGGATGGTGCTGTAGACTGACATTTACTTGTGCTTCTAATATCTCAATTAAATGGCTGCATTTTCAACACAGTAAGAATAATGACTTTAGAAAAGCATTAAAATTCATAGCTAGGTTCATGCTTTATAGATTTCCTTTGGGACTTGAGATACCGTTGATGTGTAATTTCTGGTCCCACTGAAATCACAGGAACTACATATCCATGGCACACATCTGTAAAGAGACTGAAGCATTTCTCTCAGTACTAAAACTTGACCACGTACATCAACTGTTCACCTGCAACATTTTCCAGACCATCTATTTCTTTGCTTCTGGCTTTTAAGACAAATTTTCACACCGTGTATTTTATTATAAGGCATTGCCTTCTGAAATGTATCCAACAACTTGCCAACAACTTTGAGAGAGCTGAAATGTATTTTGAAACTCAATATACTGAATCATATGTGTAATTATAACAGCGACAAATTCAGTCCTCGTATGCACAGGCTCGTGTGACTGTAAGGCACACATAAGACTAACCCCGTCAGTGTAGGCAAAAGTATAAAGACTGCGGACTCTTCCCTTATCTCCCATTGTTACCGCGCTGGTTAGAATACAGCCCCCACGCGCTACCACAGCACGGCAGCGGAGAGGCCGAGGGAGCCCACCACGAACACCAGCCGCGATACAAGATCGCCTGACCAGGCAACCTCGCCAACTGCCCGCTCACTCCCTCGTTCGCTCATTCCCGGCCACGGCCCAGGGGCACCAGCTCTACCCACAGGGCTCTGAGCATCAGCCCCACCTCTCCACTCCCACCAACGGGCAGGACGCGCGCCACCCTGAGGTAACGGCTGCGCACGCGCAGAACACCTTCCCGTCCCGCCCTCCGGCCTCGACCGTTACAGCAGAGCCGCCCTGCGCATGCTCTGCCTTCGCGCTGGCACCGCCGCCGACATGTCGCAGCAGGCCAGCCGGGCAGGGCCGGGCCGGGCCAAGCCCGGTGGCGCCCGCGGCGGTCCCATCCCGGAGCGGCCGTCAGTCCCCAGGGCGTGCCGCCGCACCCCTTCTCGGCCCCACGGCCTCCGCCAGGCGGGAAGAACACCCCTCCCCGTTGCTATGGCTGCCAGGAAGTGGGCGGAGCCAACCGGGAAGTGCAGTCGCCGGCTGAGAAGTGACGCCACCGGAGACCCGGATGTTCGCGGGGCAGACACACGCACCCCCCTTCGCGGGCGGAAGCGGGCGGTTGGGGAACGGCTCTCTTCCTGCGGCTGGGTCATGTGACCAGTCTGCCTCCACGTGACACCGCGCGGCCGCGGCGGCAATGGGCACGGCGCTGGACATCAAGATCAAGCGGGCCAACAAGGTCTACCGCTGCGGGGTGAGTGCGGCCAACACGGGGCTCCCTGCCTGGGCTCCCAGCTTTGCTCTGGGACTTGCCGGCAGCCCGGGAACTTCCTGGCAGCTCTGAGGCAGGAGGGCGCTTCCTGCTTTGCGTCGTTCTTTACCGTGGAGGTGGGGCTGTAGGGGGCTTGCAGCCTGTTGCCAGCGAGCTGGGGGAAGGTTTACTTCCACCCTGCTCCGAGCTTTCCTCTCCATCACCCCTGCTCACTCCGTGGCTCTCCCTTAGCTCCTCTGCCGAGAACGCCACGGATTTCTCCTGCCTCCTGTAGCAAAGCGGCCCTGGGCTCCGGCACGGCTTTGGGATTAAAGCCTGCTTTTTGTTCTCCCATTGTCCCCAGCTAGCGCGACGGTGCTGAGTGAGGACCTCCAGCAAATCTCTGCGGGGGGCGGCAGGGCTTCGGGAGGAAGGGAAGGAACGAAGGAGTAAGACTCCCCGAGGAGTGACTGTGGAGTTCACGTATGGGGCAGTGTCGTTCAGTCATTAATACTTGTGCATTGCAGCACGACTGGTGCTTCAGTACAGTATATAGGTTAGAGTCTTGTTTCGTTTCTGTGCTCTGCAAGAAACGTGAAAGTGTCTCAAGATGTTTGCACCTGATAGGAAATATCCTCTTGGATGAAGTACTTAAGCAAGAACAGATCGAACTTTTGTTTTTCTTTACTGCCGCTTTACAGAAGGCTGATTTCTTGACTTTTTTCACTGATGTAGTTATTGATAGTAATAAAGTGATCGTTCAACTTCTGCAGCTACTTGGAAAAACGTTGTGCCTTTTTTTCATTATTGAAGACTTCAAGCACAGTTTAAAAATAAAATAAAAAAAACCCAAACACTTGGCTTATGTTTTCAGTATTTTTTTCAATCACTATTTTTCTAGAAATATTGTTTCAGCTGAAATGTTCAGGTCCTCCTTTCCTTTTTTTTTTTTTTGTTATCCAGCCACACAGTGGTATTCTAAAAAATCTTTTCACATACTGCTTTCCTGTAAATTAGTAGTTTTGGTTGTTACAGTGTATAAAACTTGTTTTGATGTATTAAAGGTTTTTAATGTTGGAATACTGCTTTAAACAGATTTGGATGAAAGGGTATGCAGCATCTGTTCTGCAGATGTTAAATCACCTAAAGGATGACTTTCAGAAAGCTAAATTATCAGTTTGTGAACAGCACATCCTTTAAGTATGGTGTCATAGTGATTAAGGCTACTTTCTGTGTCTCACTTTCACATTGTTTTGCTAATGCACTGTATTAGAAGGACCTTACTTATTTCAGTACTGTATGGCTATGCCCATTTTCAGTTTCTTCACATGGCTTGCCTTATATCATTTTAAACTAGATTATTTTGCAGGAAAGGGATATTTCTTATGTCTTTAAGCTGAAATTAAAGAAGATATTTATAGGTAGTAAATCTGTCAGTCTTTTGTGTTTGCTTCTACTTTAGCTCCATGTGAAAAGGTTTATAATTTTAGTTCGTTAACTAGGCCTGAAATTTGCAGGTCTTGAGTGATGTGAAAACATGATGAAAGAAATGTACACTAGAAACACATGCATTTTTAATAGAAATTTCATAGGGATATGAAGGAATTACAGATCTCTCTTCAATTACGTGTAGAATGTACACGGGTTTGATTTTGAGGTTTGGTTTGTTGTTTTTTATTTTTAGGAATACTTCAGTGACAGTAGTTGTGCTAATAATAGCTTTAGTCTATGGCAGCTTTCATCCCAAAATACGCTTGCATCAATGCTACTTGAAAACGGACTCCTTTAGTAAAGAGAGTAGTTAATCCCAGTGTGTATGTCTAGTTATTTGTTTGAAGGCGCTAGGGGTACTGTAGCTAGATTTGATTTCCACATACACACACACCACCCACCCCGAATGTATTTAAACCCACATTTGGATTTGGAAGAAGGTGATGCCTAAATTATGCACTGGCATAATACTCTTTTTGTTATGCCTGTTGCATCATAACAGCATAAAAAATTGCTGAAACATTCTAAGTCATAATTTGCCCAAGATCATGCCACCCACCTAGCATTTAATTTCTGCCACTTTTCTTGTGTGACAGTATTGGCTATGCAGTAAGCTGGACCAAGGGAATGGGTAGTATTCGGTTCAAGAAAGTAATTACTTCAAAAAAGTAATAACGGTAATAAAAAAAATTATCATGGGCATCCTTTTTAGTTTTTCTTATGAATGTCTTCCAAGTAAAATACAGGGTATTGGAACAGTTGGTATCAGAACAGTCTTGTGTATGGCCAAAAGAAGAGATATAGTCGAGCAGGAAATTGGACAAAGTGGGGTGGATGAAGAGCAGTCTAAAGGATCTCAGCCTCTGGTGTTAGGTGATAATAGACCAAAGACCAGGTAATGGCCATGGCTGATTTCAGCCACTCTTCAAAGGAGGGATCAGCATGGCATTACCATTACAGCACTGATTTTGTACATCTTGAGAGCATGTAGTCTGGATGAAGTAGGGTTTTTAGCAATCGGCATCTCTCAATCTGTTTTGTGTACATCAGCCAGCATCTTTACAACTATTGAGTGTATTTGCTATAAACCTTTATTCCCTCAAGTAGTGAAAGAGTAAAGGGAAACAGAGGAGAGACCCGTATTTAACAAGTAACTGTTCTGACAATCTCTTAATGGTAAATTCCATGCTAAATAAGACCCTGAAGGTGCAGGAGTTTACATTAAAAACTTCTAGGAGAGAACTCTGAAAGTTAATTAACTTATATCTTACTTTATTGCAGAACTGAATTTGAGTCTTGTTAGGGAAAAATTTTGTTGAAAGTATGTATGAGAAGGCTGGTGTGTGGAGAAGATAAAGGGGTGCCTAAAGCAAATAGCCAACCAAGAAAATAAAGGCTGAATAACTTGGGTTTTGTTCTTTACACGGTCAGAGTGATGCACGCATTTCATTACAGGCTTTTCCGACCAGGTCAAGATGTATAAATTTCTCTTTGGTCCTGAAATATCATACAATAGAACCTTCAAAACCTTCCCTGTTGTCTTGGGTTGGGTCAAACTACCTCCTGCCACAGTTGCCTGGGTTATACTAAATCCAGCTGAATTCAAGCATTTCTCATTGTTGCAAAGCAATCTCCTATGCCAGATGGAAGTCAGTTCACTTCTTAAGACTTTCTTTAGTTCTAGGTAGTTGAGTAGGCAACTGTTCTGTTCTTTTTAGTTCCTTACTTCTGTGTTGACTGCTCCTTTCTAATTGTGAGAAATTGAACACAAAATTTGTAAAATAGTCATGCATCATGCAAGCCCGAGATTGTGTTCCTGGTTTTAAAAAGGAAGTTGGTTAAAATAACATGCTGTGATAAACAGTAACCGATTTCTGTATTCATTATTTATAATCACCAGAAACTGGAGGAACTGAGCAAACAAAGACCTTTATTTTGTCCAGACTTCAGTTTGAGAAAAGCTAGCTTAAAAAGGTTGCTTTAAATTGTGAGTAAAAAAGAAGCTTCCCACTTGGACCAAAAAAGTAACAGCATTTTTAAAGAAAAAAAAATACAAAAAGGGTATTTAAGAACAAAAAGACAATAAAATGTATCCTAATAAATAGCAAAATATGTCTTATAGCAGTAAAACAGTGTTTAAGTTCCTAAGAACAAAAGATCTGTTCAGGAGACTTTTTATTTAATTGGATAGAGAATTCTTGAGCCATTGAGGCTCATTTAATAAATTCTGGAATGCTAGAAGAATGAGGAGACAGGCACAACTAATGATGTGTTTTATTTGGAAAACCCAAACAGGGTGACGGGAGGAATTCTGAGATTGATAATTAGAAGAATTGTAGGCTGAAAGGCCTGAAAAATGCATTGTACAAAGAAAGGTACTATAGTTAACATCAGTGAAAACTTTTAGTGACAAGTGAGTCCAAAATATTCTTAAATCAAAATTTGCCCATAAGGAAGCTGTTGTGGTTTAAGCCCAGCCAGTAACTCAGAACCATACAGCTGCTTGCTCGCCCCCACCCCCAGAGGGATGAGGAGGAGAATCAAAAGACTGTAACTCCCACGGGTTGAGATAAGGACAGTCCAGTAACTAAGGTATAATACAAACCCACTACTGCTACCACCAATAATAATAATAATAATAATGATAAGAGAAATAACAAGGGAAGAGAATACAACCGCTCACCACCTGCCAACCAATACCCAGCCCGACCCGAGCAGTGATGTAGCCCTTCCGGGTAACTTCCCCCAGGTTATATACTGGGCATGATGTGCTGGGGTATGGAATGCCCCTTTGGTTAGTTTGGGTCAGGTATCACAGTATACTAGAGATTGGAAGGGACCTCGAAAGATCATCTAGTCCAATCCCCCTGCCGGAGCAGGAACACCTAGATAATGTTACACAGGAATGCGTCCAGGCGGGTTTTGAATGTCTCCAGGGAAGGAGACTCCACAACCTCCCTGGGCAGCCTGTTCCAGTGTTCCGTCACCCTCACTGAGAAGAAGTTTCTTCTCAAGTTTAAGTGGAACCTCTTGTGTTCCAGTTTGTACCCATTACCCCTTGTCCTGTCATTGTTTGCCACTGAGTAGAGCCTGGCTCCATCCTCGTGACACTCCCCCTTTTTATATTTATAGACACTAATAAGGTCACCCCTCAGTCTCCTCTTCTCCAAACTATAGAGACCCAGCTCCCTCAGTCTTTCCTCACCAAACATGGTGTCCTGTCTCTGCTTCCTCCTGGTAGACCATGAGACTCAGAAAGTCCTTGGTCAGACTAAACGTTTGGGCAGTAACTAAAAACATCGGTGTTACCAGTGTTGTTCCCAGGCTGAAAGTCAAAACCACAGCACTGCACCAGCTACTAAGAAGGAGAAAAATGACTGCTACTGCTGAACCCAGGACAGTATCCACCCCTTATTCCATACCATTCACATCATGCTGAGATCCCACATTTTTCAATACCCCATCACTCTTGTCTCATATATATGAGACACACACACACACACAAAGGGAGAGAGATACCGTTACCTAGTGCATGGACCAAGCCGTATAAAGCTGCTGAGTTCGTCTGGTCCATGATGTTGGGCTCCATCTCTTGTAACAGACTTTCAGAGCAGGAGTGACTGTGTGCAGTGTTGGACTGTTGCCTGCTGATGACACCGTGGAACTCGTCTGGTTTCGTCAAAGTTCATTCTTTGTTGGGATGATGCTTGGAGGGAAGTCAGGGCCGGTTGCTGGTGACCTGAAGGCATCTGGTTGGTGGGCTATAAAAAGGTGCTACATAGAAGGCAACAGCATACAATTGAGTTCATTGGCTGTTTTCTCTTAAAATCAAATCCCCTTGAGGTACACATCAGACTTCCCCATCTTCTCTCATTACCCACCAAGTATATCCAGGTCCCATAGCAAAAGCAATCCCAAGAGTGGGTTTGCCTTTACCTGAAGCAGGAATAACCCAGACTGTCTTCCCCAGCAAATTCTTCATATGCACCACGGGAACGTTATCCTCCCTCTACAGATGTAAAAGTTCTGACTGGGCTGGGCCAGCCCTGTTGGCAAATCCTCTGGTGTTGACCAGCCAGGTGGCTTTTGGTAAGTGTGTATCCCAGTGTTTGAAAGTCCCACCACCCGTTGCTCTCAGTGTAGTTATAACAGCCCATTGTACCGTTCAGTTTTCCTAGAGGCTGGTGCATGTTAGGGGATGTGATATACCCACTCAATGCCATGCTCTTTGGCCCCAGTGTCTATAAGGTTATTCCAGAAATGAGTCCCATTGTCCAACTCAGTTCTCTCTGAGGTGCTGTGTCGCCACAAAATTTGCTTCAAATTTTCCTTTTCCCTAAAAAAGGCAAAGTAATTAGTATATCTGAGCATTGAGGTTTTAAAGCATCTAATGACTAGTTAGTTGAGTTTAGTGGGCTTTTTCTATTGAATGTGGTCAGTTTCTGTCTAAATAACCAGAAGAATACATAGTTAAGATTTGCGGGTGGCTTGCCTAGAGGAATAGATGTGGAAGAAAATGATCAGGAATATTTAGTAAATGTGATGTACCTGCACTTAATGTGAATTTTTAAATTGTCATCTGTTTGTCCTAAAAGTGAATGCCTGTGATGTGGAAAGTGGAATCTAAGAGGAACCTAAGGCATCTTGTTGGTAACCAGCTGACTGTGGACTTGCATTCTACCAAAATAAGGATAAGCTTAATCTATAGATGTATAGTGGCTATCACATGGAACGAGAGAAATGTTAGGCATTTCTGGATGGCATTAGATATGACATCCTCTCCTATTGCCAACACCTTAAAATGAGTGATGGCAGATTTCAAGTGTTCTTTAAATCTGCCTTGTGGTTTGTTGTTTATTCAAAGCTACCTTGCATTTGAGAAAAGAACAAAAAAAGAATTACTCTGATTTTATTAGGGATGCTCTCAAGTGATTAGATACAATCTGAAAATACGTAATATCTAGCTAAAATTATTTTTTCTAGCTCATGAATCTAGCAAACAGATCTGACAGTGTAAACAGACTGGAATTAGTAAAAATTTGCACCCTGAAAGTAGTTGGCCCAACAATTTATGGGATGCCATAGTGCATGCTTTGATCCTTCCAGTCTTTACAGAAAGCTTATGGATACTGAATAGCTGCCTAGTTCAGTCAGAAGTCTTTTGATATGGCTTAGGACTTAAGATGAGATTCTGTGCTGTGTTATGAACCATTTCATGTTATTGATTGAAGGTAATTCCAAATTGTCCTCAGCCAGACCTCGGTAACTCTGCTCCACAACTGGAGAAACAAGGGGTTGTGCTGCTGGATCACATGAAGCAGTTGTTCATCTTAGTTATGACCTTGGAAGTGACCAAAGCTTTCAAAGTGTCATGTACATATCTGAGTGGTAGGGAACTGAGAACAGAAAGCTGAAAGAGCTTGTTCAGGATTATTAACCTGAGACAGTCTTCTTACAAAAGTGTTTTGTTTGCAGCTTAGAACATGTATCTCACTTCTCTGTTTCACATAATACGCTGGCCTTCCTATGGAGTGTTACTTTTTTGAGATGAATAATTCTGTATAGAGCTGTATTAGCTTAGTTCCATCTTTCAAAGTTTTGTCGTCCTGTGCTGAAACCATGAGGAGTTTCTAGTAAGTGAGAAGGGAAGAAGTGAACAAGAACAGATGATTGTAATTTACTACACTGTAGTACAAGGGGATTGATTCCAATGGCGACATTCTCTGTGCCTTTATTTTTGTGGTGTTAGAGCTAAACAAACCCCTTTTGATATGGTAGTACAAGGGGATTGATTCCAGTGGTGACATTCTCTGTGCCTTTAGTTTTGTGATGTTAAAGCTGAACAAACCCCTTTTAATATGAACAATACTATTTTAGTATGACATGATGCTGCATAGCTTTTGCAAATGGTATATATTTGCAAATGTTTTGCAAAATGAGTTTTCTCATAAATTGTGTGCTAACTGTAAGTATTTTAACATCTTGGCAGGCTTATGTTCCTTGTTTTTTACTTTTTAGAAGGACAAGTTTACTGACAGCTTTGTATTTAGAGGGGTCTCTGGCCTTACACAAAATGACTCTTCCCCAGAAAATACATAGCTGACCACCTCCCGACACATCAAACAGAAATATGAATATTATATAAATAAATACTGTTGCATCTTTTTCATGGTTCTTCCCTCTCCCCCACATTAGTAACCTTTAAAAGTTTTGTTAGAAAGTAGTCTTGAGGTGTTGTTTTTTTTTTTTTATTTCTTAAGAGACATTGAGTGTTATAAGAAAAAATAATATATAACTTCAAGTCACTCTTTGTTCTGCCCTAAATGCATACATCCTTATCGTGTGAAAGCATGTAGGCAGTAGCTCTGGAATAGGTTTTTGCCTTGTGGTGGGAGACTTCTCATTTATTAAAGCAGTTTGTATGTTCAGGATTGTCCATGCTTCTTGTAGTTCAGCTGTACTCATTTTTCAAAGCAGTAACCTAATTGCTTGTACTAATTAAAGCCTGTTAGCAAAGCAGTACAGTATTTAGGTCAGCTTTTCTTCACTGTCCTTTTGTGCTTGTGCCTCCTGTTCCTGGCATTTCCCAATTGCTGCAGGTCCTCTTCAGACTTTCAGTGTGTCAGCCTTTGTTGTGATGCTTGAAGTTCTTCTGCTGTCCTGTTCTGCTTTAAACCCCCTGACCCATTTTCTATATTGTCATCCTGTATGTACCTCTAGTAAAGACGAAAGGCTGGCAAAATTCAAGTAGCGTCAGTCAGAGATGTACGTAACTAGACTGGTTTTAACTGGTTGAGTGTAGAGTGGGCAGTCTCTGAATTATTCTTGGTTTGGAGTGGTCTGTAGTTTGGTGTCTAGCTTACAAGCCTGATGAAGGTGGAGGGAGCATTACCGTATAGCAGAAGAGAAGGCTAGCCCCAAGAAACTTTTGCAGGTTCTCAAATCACTTGCTCGTATTTCCAGATGTGTATGAATGATTGACATTGAACACTGACTTGGAGTGGATTCTTTGTTGTAGGAGAGGTGAAGGATAAACTCTGGGGTATGTAAAATGAACTGCATGTTGTTCTCCTGCAGTTTTTTTTTCCAGTGTTAGAACTTCTAAGTTGATACTTTCAAGATGCAGTGTTCTTGTCCAAATACCGTTTAGTAGACAAAACATTCTTAATGGGATAAGTGATGCATTGCTTGACTCATACAACTTGTGCCTTCGATTCCCATTGTAGCATGGAATTTCCTGGTGTAGCAGAGCAACTATTTATTTATTTATTTTAAACCTATTCCACTCCACTCTTGAAGAGAGACTTATCCTCAGCTTGGCCATCACTTTCATAGTTATGCCTTCTCTTTCATCTCCCATGTCTGGCTGTCCCGCTCTTCATATAAAAATTCCTCCTGGGATTTCATTCTATCATGTGAAATTGAACTTGTTTGTTACCAGCTGACCTGATACTTGTTCATGAGGATATTTTTCATCTTTCTGAAGAGGAAGATTGTGAAACTTTGGAAAGAAATTGAAGCTTGGATCAGTACTTCTGCAAGGAAGAGGACAATATTTTTAAAGAAAGAAACTAGAAGTACAGAGTTCTCTTCCTCACACTGCTTTCGGTATCAATATTTGTCTTCTCTGACAAGATTAGACTGTTCTCTAGGAACAGTGCTTTTGAGTTTGGAAATCAGCTAGCACACAGTCTGAGTAACGGCTATAGAAGACATTTATTTAAACAATTATTTTCCTGTTGTCTTTTCTCCTATTAGGAAGTTCTTTCTGGAGTTGTGGTCATAACAAGTAAGGACGCAGTCCAGCACCAAGGTATCTCGTTGACAATGGAAGGATCAGTAAATCTGCAGCTTAGTGCCAAAAGTGTGGGTGTGTTCGAAGCCTTCTATAATTCTGTCAAGGTAAGACCTGTGCAGATTAGTATTTTTAGCACAAAACGTTTGTCTTTTTTCTCAAATCTTTCCTTAATGACTTTCAAGTAGTTATAGCACTTCATCCTATGTAAATGATAGCAGAAAAATGCTGAGTATTATCTAGTGATATATGATGACATTTTGGGAAGGAGCATGCACTGTTTTGAGAGTTTTCTTTGGGGCTGAAATACAGTAACATAAATAATAGGTTACTGAATGATGGTCTGTGCTGTGAATAAACACCTGAGTTTCTCGAAATTCAGGAAGTCTGTTCAGTGAGTGTTGCTGGTCCTTGAAATGGTGGGGCTGTCACTCCAATCTAAACATCTTAATGTTTATCTTTGCAGCCTATTCAAATTATTAACAGCACTATTGAAATGGTAAAACCAGGGAAGCTTCCCAGTGGCAAGACAGAAATTCCGTTTGAGTTTCCATTGCAAACAAAGGGCAACAAAGTTCTGTATGAGACGTATCATGGTGTCTTTGTTAATATTCAGGTAAGGCAGTCATGTCTGTACAGAAAATCTGAACTTTTGTTAGTTTGCAGCATGTATTTACTCTAAAGCATCTTTTATTCCGTGGAAGCAGAGGGTAAAGTTTTGCAATAAAGTTTTCATGGTGCAGTATCTTTTCTCTAATTAGAAGAATGAGCAGAAATCAGAGATCCTTTGAAGTAAGTAGCTTCTAAGCTTTCCTTTATTAATACAGCATTCTTCTGGTATGTACTGTGTTTTCTAAATATAAATTAAGATTAAAAATAATGATACATGTTAACCTTCAAAGTACTGGTTTGTAGGTAGTTCCTAGGTTTTCACTTAGAGTTTCTTGGCGTCACACTTTCCACAGGTGGTAACACTCTTAAGTGTGGCAAAGGAACCATCCTGAGATCTCAGAATCCCATCAATATAATGTTGCTAAAAAAAAAAAAAGTGAAGTCTCTTCTCTTTTTCAGCAAGTTTAAGCTTTTCATTGTAAATAGTTGATAGTAATGAAACTAATTAAATGTAACATGGGAAGTATAAGAATTAAAAGCATACTGGAAAGAGGAGCTTTGGGTTAAGAAAGATCTAGTAATTTGCTACAATAGTTAGATCTTGCACAGCTCTCTTACAGAGTTCTGATTTTATTGTGAAAGAAGTTGCATTTACCATTTTGTAGATAATCTGCATAATAGTACATACGCAGATACAAGTGTGTGTACTGGTTGCCTAGTACCAGTGAGACTTTGTTAGCGCAGTAGACAAAAATTATTGCTAATACTAAAATGTTAAAAAATAAGTTTATTGACTTAGCAGATCGGTTTTAAGACATGGGGATAAATCCTACAGTAATAAAGCCGTTTAGTGTTCAGAATCTGTTTTCCTGCATACATTTATGAGAAGTATCCTCTAAATAGAGGAAATCTTTCCATCACTTAATGTTTCATGCCTTCCATAATGGAGTAAATCTTTTAAGAATGGTGGTATAAACAGAAGAGTAACAAGAAGTGTTGCCTGAAATACCTTCACAGAGCTACTGTGGTCCCTCCTTATGTTGTAGACAACTACATTTTCTTCATGAAGAAAGACTGCACCGCAGTGTCCTTTTGGTCCAAACAAATGTGTGATATCAAAATGAAGACTCAAACCAAAGTGTTGAGAGCTTGTAGCGTTTTCAAAATCATGAATTGTTTGCTTTCCTGTGGAGATGAATAGTAACATTTCCTGCCCAAATCTGTAGGGACCACATGCTTGTAACAGAATCTCGTGGAAACACAGTTTTGAAATTTGACCTTTTTTGGTTAAAAATTGTCTTACCATAGGTGGGTTCATTTGTTTGGGGTTTGGGTTGGGATTTTTTGTGTGTGTGTTTGTCAGGGTTTTGTTTTCTTTTTGTGAGGGAAAAGTCTTCAGCCATCTCTTGAATATAAATTCTGTGTTAGACAATGCTTTTTCTGACTGAGGAGTGCATTTTAGGTTGGGTGGGTTTTTTTTCTTCAAGGAAAAAATTGAAGGAGCCATTAAATGCAAAAAATTTCAAAATTACTGCTGATGGAGAATCAGTGGGTTATAAAGCTGCTGGTTTATTCTTTGTGTGTGTGGGGGGGGTCTTTTGTTTGTTGGGCTTTGGTTGGTTGGTTTTGTGTTTGGTTTATTTTTTTTCCACTTGTAGCTCACTCAATATTGGATTTGATGGCAAAGTATAAAACTTTTGGCTATTTAGTTGAGCATATTACAGTCTGGAATTTAAAAACAAACCCTAACAAACCAAAAAGCCACAGGAAAACCCCCTACCTACTAGCCTATTGGAAGTAACTATAAGAAAAATTCCCTGTTTTTTTTGTCTACATCCAGATGTTTAAGTAGTTCTCATGTTTTTTTCAGCCTTGGCTTTCTTCCTAATGTAACATCTGTTGTTTGTAGAAGGTATGTCAAAAATGGTGCAAAACTGGTCGAGTTGCTTTCTGTATCCAGATAACTTGCCTATGATCAATATCAGTTGTTTTAAAGTATACTTTAACGGTGAATATCTGTTTTGCTTGTTGTTCCTTCATTTACATAGCTTCTCTTTACAAGCTGGCAATAAAATGTAATTAAAAGGTTAATCATTAAATTTCGGCCCACCTGTGAGAGCTGTACTCTCCTGAAGAGGAAAATGTAGTGTTGAGGTGCTGTTTAAGAAACAGTTCCTAGACCTTTGTCGAAGTCCTGTGCAATTTAAAAGCAAGCCTCTCTTTCTTATCTAGGTATTAGTATGTTAGCTGGGGGTTCAGTTTCAAGATTCAAGACTCTGTCCTCTTGCAGAGACCTTCTAATTATCCACTGATGGGGAGGCTGTGAGCCAAATTCCAAGGCCTTTATGGTCCTGCTGCCTCATTTTACTGTGTTCCCTGGTCCGAGTGAAGTATAGTGCAGTAATAGAAGGTCTGTTCAACAGTGATCAGCTTCAGTGGAAACCGTAGTATGTATGGGGTGGGTAAAGGTAGTGCTCCCCAGTGTCTTTCTTGCACGTATATTCAGGTTATGTGCAGGGAGACATCAGAGAGACATTCAGTTATTAACTGAATCAACCCCTAGTTTGATTGCACCTATTTTTGCCAATTCCTCATCTGTAAAGAAGGAATGAAAAACTAAACAAAACAAAAAGAACCCAAACCACCCCAACAAATTCCCTATCTTGTAAGGATGTTGAACAGCTGTGTTATAGATGCTGAAGTATATGATTACTGTGATAATGAAGGTCCTACTATTTTTCAGTCATTGGTTTATGGCTCCTTTTTGTTAGGGGAGAAATGGGAGGAAATTGTCAGCAAGGCTTTGAACAGTGAACAGCAAAATTAACCTTGTTGCCTGATTTTACTGTCCGCTGCTGCTTTTAAGTTCAGATGTATGGCTGAAGACAGTTCCCCATTAACAGTGGTAACAGTTATATGCATATTTAAATTCAATTTTACAGTAGATTTAAAATTAGAGGGGCTATGAATATATCTTACTGATAATCACGTATCCAAAGTGTGGTGAAAAGCAGTACCATAATCACTTAACTGAATGTAATTTGGGTGCTGAAGCCATAAAAGAATACCACTCTGTCAGTGAATTAGTCCCTCAATCTTACAGGTTGTTATATAATGCAGAAGATATGGAAAGCTTTTTCAAATGACATGGGGACTGTAAACTCAAAGAAAAAGCAGCTTTCATTTGGGAGTATCTAAAATCACTATACCTCTTTCCCCTTTCCCCGTCATGAGGGTGTACATTGCCTACTAATCTGTTTTAAATGATGCCTTAAATATTAATAAGAGTAACATTCTGCACATATTTAATAAAAAGATGAAAAGTCAAGAGAAAGAGAGAGGAAATCTTAATTAAGTCTCTCTTTTTGTTCTCTGCCATCCTGTTCTTGCTAGTATACCCTACGGTGTGATATGAAACGTTCTCTGCTGGCAAAAGACCTAACTAAGACTTGTGAATTCATTGTCCACTCACTGGTAAGTGTGATTTGTATTAACCATACAAAGTGAGATTTTTATATTTTTTTTCCACTTTATGTAAAGTTTGGCAGTAAGGCTTGAAACCTGAGTAAAACCATGTAATTTGTAACAATTAAATGTGTGTACATATATATATATATAGGGATATGTACGAGTAAGGAAGAGGCCTCAAAACAAGACCATCCAGAAGAGATAGGGTGTCAGTTGCTTCTGATTAGAATAACACATCTCTCTTCATTTAAAGAAAACAGTATAAAGAGAATTTGGTTTATAAGATGATTTTATACTGTACTGAGTTTGTTCTCTTATTCATCCTTTCAGTTCTGAAACACAGGTGTGGTTAAACATTATGATGGTGGTCTAAACACTGTTTCAGATTATCCAAGCATTTGTTAGCCAAAGGTTCTAGGCACAATGCCTGTTCCAAAACCAGGAGTTTGTTGGTGAAGAGAAAATGTCTGATATCTGTTATTCAGATGGCTAACTACAATTGAGAGCCCTTACTCAAAGTATCAAAGCTGGGATCGCATCAAGTTGGAAATAAGAAGCTTGTCAGCTTAATCACCTTTGCTATTAAGTAAGCCTATGGTTGGCAATATGCTAAGATAACTAGGTTAACAAATATCCACATCTTGCAGTTAGCAGCATGGAGACAGCATTCCTCCTCCTCCAATGGAGATACCGTTGTGGGATGAGATTGGCTTATCTCCCAAGGAACGCTGTGCTGCTTTGTTATTTGAAGTTCCTTTATCAGATTGGTTTTTAGTTTATGTTGACTTTATGCATGTCCAGAGCATCTGATGTCAGTACAGCCTGTGCAGGCCTAATTAAGTATCTTTTTCCACCCACAACTTGTTAGAACATACTGTTTGTATCATTCCTCTGAACTGTTAACGGGGCAGTAAAGTATTAGATTCTTGTTTTACTTATGAATAATGGTGCAAATGGGTTTAGTTCTATAGTACCTTTTAAAAAATTTAGTTGCTTTTTTAAAGATGTACCTAGGTGCTGTGAAGAAGTTTCCTGTCAGTAAGATTTCTTTTTTTTTTGAAATATTATGCTACACTTTATTGGTCCATTATTACATTATAAGTAAGCCACACTTGTCAAAATAGTGAACAAATTACATACCGTGCAGTTTCCTGGGTTTATTTCTTGTTCCCACTGCAGCACTTCTTAGATCACAAGTCAGTAAATCATGAGTCTCTCAGTCAGGGTGAATTAATGAGGTTTTACTGAACATATAATTCTCGTTGTCAGTGCTCAATGTACCATTTCCCTTAACCTTATTCTTTGCCAGAGTTACTCATTTATGGGAAAATACAGTCAAGTCTGCTAATATCTTCCATCTTGCAGCTGGGCAGCAGAAGCTATTTTGAATTCTTAAGTAGTGAGGGTAGATCCTAACTAAGAATTCAAGTTAAGCCCATTGGCGGTGGTGTGCTCTGCCAACTCCAAGTTATATGCAGCTGGGACTCGGAATTGATGCTGTGCTGGCTACTTATTCTAAATACGTAGGGGAAAGACTGTGCATCTCACTGAGATAAGGATGGAGAGAGAGGTCAGTGAATGGTAAGCAAAGCTTGCCTTCCTTATTCAGAGTACAGGTTTCCATCTCAACAGAGCTCAGGGCTCATTCAGCCACTTACAGAAAGACCTCTTGGTTTTGTGATAAATGGTGTGAATAGATACTGAAGAACTCTAGTAATGTGCCCCAAATTTTTTTCTCTAGCCTGGAAAGCTAACCTGGACCAAGTATTTTTAATTTTAAAGTTAAAAAAGCTGGAATGCTAAGCCCATTAAATCAATGCTATGCTTGATTCCATCATCTGAGGATGGAATGATGATTTGATGATCTCCTAGTAACGTGAGGATGGCTTATGAGACCTGAGTTGTTATTGAAAGGGCAGCAGATGAGTTCAGAATGCTCAGAGATGTTTGTGCTCAAACATGTTTGAAACAATGAAGCGAGTTCATTTATAATCTTCCCCCTCTCTGGCATGCCCAAATTCACTAAGTATTAATAACAAAAGGAAACATTGCAAGTAATATATAAAATGCAATTATTTGTAAATACAGAAATGTGAAATTTAACTGTTTTCTAAGGTGTATCCTATGCTTCAGATAGGTAGCGTATTTCTTTATTTCCAGGGGTGTTAGTCAACTGCATGATTTGGTTTTGTTTTCCCTTTTTCTCCCCCAGTGTAGGTAGAGTGTATGCCAAAACTTACAAATGGAGAGCAAAGAGGTTGTTATTTGGCAAACACAAAGTAACCAAAAATTGACATGGTTTTGTTTCTGTAGTTCAGATTTGTGATAGACAATGCTGTAATGTTATTTAATAACAAAGGCAAGAAATATTTTTTTTTATTAAAGATGCATACTTTCAGTATGAAGAGAATCCTGCAAAATAACACATCCTATGGTTGCTTGACTTTGTCTTTTTTAATATTCTTGTGTGTGTTTCGTAAATCGTAGTTTGCGGTTTAACTCTTTCATTACTTGTAGTCACAGAAAGGGAAACTGATGCCAAGCCCAGTAGACTTCACAATCACTCCTGAAACTTTGCAAAATGTTAAAGAGGTAAGGCTTTTCATATTATTTAAACGTAATGCCTCTGTGATTCTTAGTGAGAACAAGAGAGGAATGGTTAAATGCAATGCTGTCCTATAGATAATCAGTTCTCTCTTTCCCCCCCTCCCCTTCTCTTTTTTTTTCCCCACTTGTGTAAGCAGTACAGTGATTCTGTCTGGTCTCTTGTGGTGGTGGTGACCGATGTAAGGTAGACCTTTGTCCAGCAATGGTTAAACGTTTTTATAACTTTTCTGAGTGAAAGATGGCAGCGAAGCAAAAAAACCCATTCTAAACCTGGTGTAGTCAAGATCCTTTAAAAATGTACATTTGGATCCTTGTTTATGCCTCTTTCTACAGCCCCATGTGGCTTTGGGAAGTCTGGATGAACATTAGTAGTTATTTTGGTCATTTAGCTTTCTGAACACTTGTTTCTGTTTGTCCACTGAAACGTATGTTCTCTTTTTTCCAGATTTTCCTCTTGTGCTCTTTTTGTTAATAGGACTGTTTTCCTGCTTTAGGCTTCCCTTCTGCATCCCCAGTTTGTCTTCCATTGCTCTTGGTCCCAGGCTTCTGAATTTAGACCTACTTTTCCACTTGTTTCTCAAAACGGACCTCTTATTCAGCTGTCTAGTTGTTTCATGCTATTGTTAACCTTATTCTACATGTTCTCCAAATCACTGCAGCTAGAAGGGACCTCTGGGGATTGGTTAGTCCATCACCTGTGCCTAGAGCAGAGTCATCTTGAGCAGGTTGCTCAGGGCCATGTGTAGTCAAGCTTTCAATATCTCAAAGAACGGGGACTTGCAACCGCTCGGCAGCGTTACAGTGTTTGACCACCCTCACAGAGTTAAGAATAAATCATTAAGATAAGGGTGATGTTCAGGAACCTTTTTTGTTCATGACAGCCTTGCAAAGATAATCAATATTGGCCTCAGGGGAACATGGGTCAGTTTCCTCAGCACTTGTGGGTGCGTCCCGTAAGGTCCAATGGACCTGCGTACATCCAGACTGTTTAAATGCTCTCCAACTTGCTCCTTCTCTGCCAGGAATAACTGTTCCTTGCTCCAGACTTCCCCTGTGGTTGCAGGTGCCTGGGTTTTCTGAAGGCAAATCTTATCAGTAGAGTCTGAGTTAGAGAAGACATTAAGTGCCTCTGTCCTTTTCCTGTCTCTTGTCACTAGGTCTGTGTTGTCCTTCCTGTCTCTTGATTTAACTCCACGTGTTTTTTGGCTTTCCCAAAGCCATCCCTGCACGCTTGGATACTCATTTTATGTTCCTCTGGGGTCACCTGACTCTACTTCCATCTTTTGTATACTTCCTTGTTATGATTTTTAACAGTAGTATCTTTTTCATCCATGCAGGTCTCTTCCTACCTTTGCTTAACATTCTGCATGTTGGAATAGGCCATTCTTGAGCATAGAGGAGGTGATTCTAGAAAACAAACCAGCTAAGTCCCACTGAGTTAGAGGATGAGCAGGTTGTTTCCAGCAGCCTCTCATGTCTCATGGTGACTGCTGCATGCTGAAAACAAGTCTTTCTAAACGTAAGGATATAATAACTACTCTTGGCAGTAAAATTTCTTTTGATACTACTGCTAAATAGGAAGCTCTCAGCAGTCTGCTCTTCCTATGAACCATGTTTCCATATAAATGATTTTCTATTTCTTCTTTCTCTTCTGTATCTTGATAAGTCTACTCACTGGCATAGCAAGTCATGAAAGTCCATTAAAAGCTCTTTCTTAACAGACCTTGCACCTTTTGCTATTTCAAGTACATAACTACAGAAGTAGGTTCTAAAACTTCTGACATCTCTGATCCAGCAGATCTTGGTGTTTAAATATGGAGCCGTCTAAGGAATAGTGTTGAATGTGTATGGTAGCACAAACAGTGCTAGCTGGTCTCAGAAAAACATATGAAATGTATGGTCTGAAGCGACTACCCAGTGGATAGGTAGAAAAAGTCATTGTTTTGGTATACTTAAAACGTTAAAATTTAAATTCTCTGCTTGTCTGGAGATTATGACAGACCTATAGTTTCTGGTGGACTACTCGAAAACTGATCAGGAGGTTTGAAGTAGCTGAGCAAACACAAAGACATTGGATGAAAAACCAGGATCGATTTGCTTCTGTGTTCTTGATTCTCTGAGGGGAATGATGAACTAGATGGTAGGCCCCATGAGAGAAGACCTACCTAGGAGTGCCAATAAGAGCAGTACCTTTAAAAAAACAGGTCTCATAGACTAAGATTGAGAAAAATGGCCTTGAGTTCTCATTCTGCAAGTTCCTTTTGTCTCTGTCTCTTAGCTTCCTGACCACTAAGTTTCAGGGCATAGCTGTATGATGTCCCAGGGAAACAGCTCTCTGTTTACTGATAGTGGCGATGAGAAGAATGTGTGAGGGATCATACAATAAGAAAGCATTTTACCAATACGTCATTAGGACTCAGTATTTCATAGGATGGTTTTGTCAGGGATGTAACTTCTGTTACTTAAGTTAGGAGAAAATACTCATTTACTAAAGGCATGAAGATTCCTCACTTTTTATTTCCCCCCAAGATTTGTTTTGAGTGGAACAGCTAAATTCTGCAGAGGTGTTGGGTATCTGAGTGAAACAGTCTAAACAATAGCTACTGCCATTGCTACTGGCAGCCAGGACTCAGAAGCAAGCCAAACAGATTGGGAGGAAAAAAGTTTTCGACAAGAGAGGTGGTTTGGAAGAAGAGAAAATCAGTAACATGGGCAAGGAAACACAATGCCACAAGCCAGTGTGAACAGATGGTTGGAAGGTAGGGTCTAACATCAGAGATGTCAATAACAAAAAATTAAGGAGGGAGAGAATAAGGCTTGCAAAAGGGGAAAGTTAGAGCAGGGTGCTCAAACAGCTTGAAGAAAGCTGGATGGTGAAGATACAAGCTGAAGATGTGGGTAGAAAGCTTGACTGTTTCAGTATGCCTCCTGCTAGAACTTTTAACTGGATCTTGTGCACACAAGTTTTTTTTTTGCTGGCAGAGAATATCTGTGGTGCCTGCTGGCCTAAAAAGGGGAGGGCAGGGGGAGCAATCCCCTGCTTTGGTCTTTCATGGAAACTGATTTACAGATTGTCATCCTCAGTCAGCTGTTCTTACTGCTCCTTCCTTAAGAAGTAGGAAACATGCTTGCTGTTAAGAAAATGTTGAAAGTGTGATCTTGTATGTTAATTGTCCTTAATTGGTGTCTCAGTACATACACAGTATGCTACATCTTGCATCAAAGAAAGGTTTTGAAATGTCTGTCTTCCCTCCCAATGCTAGTGACTAGGAGAGAGAAATGTTAAAGGGTAGGAAAGTCACTGAAATGAGAGACTGTATTGTAACCTGTAACAAAATGGGACCACTATGGGGTTCTTAGAGCACTCCTAGCCTACTTGCCCATCCTATGAGTTCCTGCCAGCCTGCCTCCTTCACCATGCAGTTCTCACTTCTGGATTCATTGCAGTGGCCAGGTTTTGTCAGTGCAGGTTTTGTCAGAAAAAGCTCCTGTGGATGGGATGAGTAGGGGGGTGATGCATGTTCAGGGGAACAGGAGTACTAAGAGATATCTTAATGCATCTGCATAAGGATGCGTATGTAAAGAGACTGAGTTTCTTGAAGCATTTCTGAACTTTTAAATTCTTAACTTTGCAGCTTTGGGGGATCTCCTACATATTTTGGCACCTTTCTGTAAGGTGTTTTTTTCTTAGTCTGCTTTTACAGTTTTGACTTTTTCTCTTCCCCCTCCCCATAATCTTTTTAGAGAGCCTCACTTCCAGAATTTCTCATCAGAGGTCATCTCAGTTCTACAAAGTGTATCATTACACAGCCACTGACAGGGCAGCTGATAGTGGAGAATGCAGAGGCTGCAGTCAAAAGCATCGAGCTGCAGTTAGTACGTGTGGAAACCTGTGGTAAGTTTCTCTGTCAATGGAATGTGTACAGAACAGACTGCAGTAGCTACTCCCTGTGCTTTTTCAGCTTAAATATGAAAGATTGTCAAAAGCCATATAATTAAAAAGACTTGCAAACAATTGTTTTGTGCCTTAGGTGGAACAGTCCAAACATTAATTTAGATAACCTCTGCTATCCTTAACTCAGACTGCTCCTGTGAAAACGTGCAGGTCAAAGGGAAAAACATTTTGCCCACACGTATCTCACCCCCTAGCCCCAGTGCATCTTTGTCTTGAGTTTTAAATTTTGGCCACTGTGTTCTCTTTTTCCCTTCCCTCTGAATCTCCCACTTTCACCAGGGTGTGCGGAAGGGTACGCCAGAGATGCCACAGAGATACAGAATATTCAGATTGCTGATGGGGATGTCTGCAGGGGCCTGCCAATTCCTATATACATGGTGTTTCCCAGGTTGTTCACCTGCCCTACCCTGGAAACAACAAACTTCAAAGTTGGTAAGTGTGTGTAGGGCTTTATGCTGTGTTGGTGTCTTTCACCTGAGGGAAGTTTCTGAGTTTCACTTCAGCTTCTGGCAGGTAACAGGGTAAGTCGCTGCCAGTGCTGCAAGAAGCACCAAGGATATCACTCTGTTTCCCTGCAGTCCCTGAATAGGAATGTAGTCTGCTGTATTTCATGTAGATTGAGAAAATACAGCCCAAATACTTACAACTAAAACTAGTTGTGCAGCTGTTAAGCTACTTCTCACTACTAGAATTATATGGTAAAGGGACAGGAGCAGCAGTGTAATGGCAGGGTTAGGGTTTTTTTCTACCAAAAAATTACATGTGTTAAACACTTGAGTAATAGTCCAAGAATAAAATGCCAAGATGATCCCTTCCTTCTTTCACCATCACTGAGAACTTCTCTTTCCATTTCCTCTCCTTTTTTCCCATTTTCCTGGTGCACAGACTCAGAAGTTAGGCTGCATGTGGCTTTTCTTTTTGCATGTGACTTTGCTTTTCTTTATCCATACCAGATACTTCTTCCTGCTTTTTTTTTTCCTTTGAACACTTTCCTTCACAAATACCTCACTTGTTCAAGTAATTACTGCAAAAATTCTCATTGCTAGCCTCATTTTCTTCCCTTCATCCTGCTGGAATCTACTGGTTTTCTTTTTTGGTTTTATTGTATCAGATTGAAGCTACAAGTCCCTGCCTTTAGGGTCCTTCCCAGCTGAAGTCCCTGGAACTTCTCTGCTGTACACCTCAGATAAATGTGCACAACTAGTTTTCCAGCTCTGCCTATCTGTTTACCTGTTCCCTCAAGAGCTCTCTCACACCTGATGTGTACAGTGATGTTTCCCCAGAATACTTCTACTCTTTACTTTTTGCCATTTGTAGCTGTTGAACAGCGATTTACAGTGACAAATGGCTCCTGTTAGTGTAGTATCTACTTCTAAGAAGTTACGAAGATTCCAAAAAAGGACAGTTATTTTCAGTTTAATTTGATCTCTGGTTCCCTTCATTTATTAACTCTACCTGACTTTGTATCCTATCTCTACTTAGGATTCATTATCGATCTGATTTTGGTTTTGAACAACACAATGTACTATCCAAAGAGCAGAGTTTGAAATTTTATCACAGCTTGCAGGTTTTGTTAGATGTTGGTGTTTAATTTCATAAGGCCACGTGTGATGAACGATTCTAAGGTTCTGTTATGTGCTGACAGCAGAGGAGTTGTCTCCTCCCCAGCTCTTCCATTGCCATGCCTGAGCAATGCATATTGGTGTGAGCCATCTTTCTCAAAGCATCTTAATCTTGGAGGCTTGAACTCTGCCTGTTGTCTGGAAAACCAGATGTCGTAGTTTGTCAATGATACAGAAATGAATCCAGAGGAGTCCCAAAGATGAGAACAAACCAAGGTTCTCTAGGAATGGTCTGAAGATTGGGTGGGATGCCTGGGGTGGGGTTCTGCCTGGAGTACCATGTTCATGCCACAGGAAAATGCAGGGTACTGGAGAGGCTTGGAAGAGCTCTGAGAAGTGCTGTGCATGAGAGCAGGAACTGCCTGCCTCTCCTCTTACTGCTACAGTTCAGATCCACAAAGGACCCTTCATCAGGGACTGTAGCAATAGGACAAGGGATAATGGGTTTAAACTTAAACAGGGGAAGTTCAGGTTAGATATAAGGAGGGAGTTCTTTACTGTGAGGGTGGTGAGGCACTGGAATGGGTTGACCAGGGAAGTTGTGAATGCTCCATCCCTGGCAGTGTCCAAGGCCAGGCTGGACAGAGCCTTGGGTGGCATGGTTTAGTGTGAGTTGTCCCTGCCTGGGGCAGGGGGGTTGGAACTAGGTGATCTTAAGGTCCTTTCAAACCCAAACCATTCTGTGATTCCATGACTCTAATTTTGTTATTCCCCCCTCTTCTAGAGTTTGAAGTTAACATCGTTGTCCTTCTGCACGATGATCATCTCATCACAGAGAACTTTCCACTGAAGCTCTGCAGGATGTAAACAGCATCACAAGAATCACTTGAGGATTTAATGAAAAGGCACAGAATTCTTCAGAGGCAAAGTGAAATTTTATCAGTTTCTTACTTGAACTGGAAACACATCACTTCCTTCTCTCTCCTGGAGGTTCTTGTATCTTCAGTTCCCTGTAAATCGTGCTACCCCTTTGCCTGCCTCACAATAGCCTGTGTGGAGATATCTATCCAGACAGCCATGTCAGGTGTCTTTCTGACTCCAACAACCATGTTTTCTCCGATTTTCCTCTGACAGATCCTGAAGGAATGATTCTGTATATTTCTACAAGTTGTAGAAATATGTAGTAAGTTTCTCTCCTCATTTAATTTTGTAATATTTGTTCCAAAGGCCTTTGAAGACCTCTTAAACATAGTAAGTTCTGTTATATATGGTGTATATATACTGGGGGGAGGGTATGGGACTTGTAGTATAATACTGAATCATGTCTTTGAAGGCATAATAAATGGTGCTACAGCAACACAGGGTGGTGATGTGGGATAAATATTGAAGGATGAACATGAAGTAAGTGATGTGTAACAAATAATGATGTGAAATAACACCAAGTGTGTTTTGGTCAAATGGGGAACACAAGTGTCGTGGTTTAAACCCGACAACAAGTCCGCACCAGAGAAATGCTTAGAACTGAGGTTCTTGTGTATTATATAGAGTATAAGTGTAAAGATGACAATTTGAAACGACAGAATTAAGTGCTTGAAATGGTTTCCTTTAGCTGTAGCCAGCAGCACTGTGAAGAAGCAGGAAGCTTCAGTTCTAGGGTTAGCCCTAGTTCTGTATCACCTTTAGGAATACCATCTGGAATTCTTACTTTTGTCTTGCAACACTCTTGGGCCAGGAGGAGGTAGATATTTACTAGGATGTAAAACACATTAAGATCAGGAACCCGTACGGGATTAAGGAAAGGTGCTCTCTCTAGTCTGGATGGTGGTGCAAGAGTGCCGCCTGCTGCTCAAGTGCCACTATCACATCCTACCATCAACGTTTTGAAGGACGGACTTTGTCCATCCTGCCCCTGGCCCCAGCGTCCAGAGTAGATGTGATTAAAGCCCAGCCGGTAACTCAGTACCACGCAGCTGCTCGCTCACCCTTCCCTTCCTTCCCCCCGGGCAGGATGGAGAGGAGAATCAAAAGAATGCAAATTCCACATGTTGAGATAAGAACAGTCCAGTAACTAAATACTACTACTAATAATAATAATTTTAAAGAAAATAACAAGGGGAGTGAATATAAAACTAAAAGGGGAAAGGAAAATAAACAATAAACACAACTGAGGCACAATACAACTGCTAACCACCCTCACCTCCCTTAATCTGCTGGTTGAATTCCTTTTGATCAGCCCAGGCCATGCTTGGCTTTCTGGGCTGTAAGTGCACACTGCTGGTGCATGTTGAGCTTCTTGTCAATCAGCCCCAACCATTGGTCCTTTTCCTCAAAGCTGCTCTCAGTCCAGTCCCTGCCCAGCCTCCAGTTGTAGTTCAGATTGCCCTAACCCAACTTGGGATTGATTGCTCCAACCCTTGGTCCTGAGGGTCAAGGATGTGGGCTAACAAGCTAGAAAGATGATGTATCCCCCACCCCAAGAACATAATGGAAGCTGAAAAGGGCGCATGTGCTGTTACGGTGAGTAGTGCAGTACCTAGATGTTCAGGCAGCAAGGCTCACCAGCCTATGGTAGACCACTCACCAGTAACTCACACTTAGTAAAAATATCACACAAAAAATTACTACTGCAGCTGCTACAAGTTTTATTTTTGATCCAAGTGCCTAGTAATATAGTGATTAATCACAGAATAGTTTAAAACTTCATCTGGAGCATATATAGTCATTTGGGGGAACATCTGATTCCTAGAATTAGCTAACAACCTCATATAATAAACATAATAGTGCCTGTATCCAAACAACAGTCACAGTTCAGTTTCAGGGTGGTCAGGCTGTACACTCTTATAAGTGTACAAAAGTCTTACAGTGGCAAAGATACACAGGAAAGCTCAGACTCTAAAGCAGTAGGAGAGCCAGTCTTTCAGCTGCCTGCATTCTGTACCTCACTCTGAGGATGAACATCCACGCTCAGAATACAGATGCAGGTTTCCCTCATCAAAACCAAAAATCTTGTAATTCTGATTTAAATAAATCAGCTCTTCAGCAATGAGGCAAATTCAAATCATATTGTGAGATTAAAGAACTGAGCCACAGTATCACGACTTAATGATAAACAAAAAGAAGGAATCACATGAATATTTAAAAAATCCTTGCTTTAAAGTATTACTAAAAGTAATAATTTAAACAATTTGAATTATAAGCTATGAATTTATGCAGAGTAAGGAGCTGCAATTATGTGAACTGCATTCATAATGAATACAACAAGCCTGATTTGAATCCTGCGGTTAAATTCTAACTGTTTGTGCCAAAGGAAGGTAATGTCTTGGCTGTTCCAAATTCTGATGGTCTGGCATTGGGGTCACCTACTTGTTTAATACTAGAATTTATTTTCAGGGTGGTGTAAGCTCTGGAGGATGGTGCATCACTCCTGCAAAGAGTGATGCACCATCGCTGGAGAAAAGTGGATAGAGTAGTTTCAATATCCCTTAGCCAAAAAACACAACCAGTTTTGTGTGCTGCCAGCCTCTAAACTACACTGGCTTCACACAGGAAGAGTGCTGGATCTTGGAGGACACCAGCTTAATTCTGCAGGTACCATGGCAATACCAGTATCTTATGGCTTAAAGCTCAGTGGTAAACACTGCAGCAGTCCAAGCTCTGCTACCATTTCAATATAGCTGGGGTTCCGTCTCTTTCTAGGTATTATGTTTCTGTTCCTTATCATGGTCGTTATTCTGCAGCTGCTTTGCATCTTACTACAATGTGTTCCAATATAACAAGGTTTAGGTGTATTTGTTCCGTGCAGGAAGCTCAGGAAAGTCTTCAGGTAATAGAGCATGAACACGACAGATGGGGCAGGTACTCGAGTGTTGCTTGAGCCAGGTTCTAATGCACTGCAAGAACAGGAAGATATTGAGTACACAAAGCCCAGTATCAGGAGTTCAGTTTAACCAAGTTAGTAATTGTCACTAACAGGCAAGCACACGATATTCTATGTTATTACAGTTTGCAGTAGAGAACCATTCTCCAGCTGTGACGCTGTGCTCATCAGTTTACATTTGCACCTACTTTGCAATAACAAATCTGCAGTGAACAAACAAGGAAAAAGTCACAGGCAGAAGCATCCAGTTATTCTCACATAATCCTGACTTCTTACTACAGGAAGCTACCTGTGCAGCTGCTAGCAGGTGGCAAATGCAGGGCTTACAGCAATAGCCCGTTCTGTAAGTACACTGCAAACAACTCTGTGACTTGACTACCAGATTCATCCTCTGAAAAATAAGCTTAAATTCACTCTAATGAATTATCATTTCACTTAAAAATCTAAACCTGAAAATTTTCTGGCACAGTAAGGCCACGTGGGTTGCAAGTCTTGGAGTGTAAAGTATGGAAAAGGAAAGGGGGTTCTGAACTGCTCTTAGGTGCACACAGGTTAAGAGGGGAAGGCTGCTTTCAGGAAATGGAACAAGGGCGAAACTAGACAATGTCCGTAAGCATTTGTATCTAAGCAATAAGAACAAAGTCCTTACTTCTCTGTGAAAACGATGCCCGCATTCTAGTTCACACGAGTCTCTGCTTAGCTCATCATGACATATTGTGCAAGGATCATCACTGGAGGCCTAGACATAAAACACAGTTATTTGAAAGCTGGCAACCATTAATCAACAAATTCTAATAAGTTAATGGTGTTACTAATTTTAACAAAGTCTATTTAAGCCTTTGCACACCAAATGAATGAGTCAATTATTTTTGCTATCAGTACTTGGATAATTTTATGTCTTACAAGAACCACCCAGCAATCACTTCCCGTCATGGAAACAGTGGAGAACTTACTGTAAAGTCTCGTTTCTTCCATTTTGATTTAGGTGTTGCTCCAACATTTCCCCAGGGCTGGAGACTTGGCTGAGGTGGATTCTTACTCGAAGCATTTTTAAGTGCAGGTTTTGCCTTGGGTGGGCTGGCAACGTGTTCTCCTGCACGGACTTCCTGACCCTGAGTTCCAGCCTGTGCCGCGGACACAGAGGATGGTGACTTCACAGGTCTCCCAGTTGAAGTTGGTGCCTAGGCAGGTATTGGAAAAGAATTTGGAACAAGTTTGCATTTCAGAGCCTGGCAGCAAAGGCAAGGTTGCATGATTTTCTGGGCTGTGCTGCACCAGCTCCTCTGTCAGGGATGCAGCTACGCACACCACAGTACCTTACTCTGCTGCTCCAGAATGAGATCTGTCACTCTGTTGAGAATTTCATCGAAGCTCAAACCTGACAGTGTATTCCCATTTCTTCTTTGTATGGCTTTTATGTAGCTAGTGAAGTCTGAACTGGAGGGGGAAAGACAACATTGATTATGTCTGACTGGCAACATGATGGCTGTTACCAGCATAGTTACAGCATGAGAGTACACATTAGCCTCCATGCTTGATTCATGGCAGTGAAAAGATACTCAAATGAACTGCACCAAGTTCCTGCTTCCAATACCTTACAGCGACTAGAATCTACCTTAATGATAACACACACTTCCACCCCTCACCAGCACCCCCCCCAAACAATAAAATAATGCTACTTCTATTTGGTAGTGGCTCTTAACTGGAGAAAAAACCCATAAGCCAACACCACAGGTCTGTTCCCTTAAGGAATGTCTCACTGAGTAGGAGTGAATGGAACAACTAAGATTACTCTGCTCATGAAACAGAAGCCTTCTAAGAAATCAGTTCTTCTTGTACTGGATGTTCAGAACTTCTGTTACTCAGCGTAGCATTACATTCATGAAAACAAATACCTGCTGTAATTTGGGAATATGCTCTGTAGTTGTGCAATAATATTTTCCAGTGGCTTTGGAAGCGTTCTGTTGGTTGGAAGTCTGGGAGGCCTCAGTTGTGTAGCTGAGTCATCTTGGTGCTTCTGGTTCAGCTGGACATTCTGAGCATTACTTCCAGAAATCCCTGACGGGCGAGTTGTTGGAACTTTATTGGAATACGATCCTTCCAGGGGCTTTGAGGGTGTTTTCACTGATCCACCACTTGCGGAACAAGCCTTAGAATTTGCATATGCTGGCTTAGCTCCAGCCTGTGTATTAAGTGAAGCATGTGTTAGACTTTGATCTTCAGAACTTGAACATGCAGGAAGTAAATTTGGTTGTGCAGGTGCAGAGGAACACATGACGATGGCTGGATCACCGTCTGGAGGCCTGCTTTGTTTTATCTAGAAATAAAACAATTTCACAGGAAAAACAGTGATTAAAATAAATTGAGCAGATCTCTCGAGCATTTGCAGCATGAACTGTGACATGTTTGGTCATGCCAAGGAACTGGAAGGTCACATTAATTTATCTAAACTTGCTTCATCTGGGTAAAAGCACTGCACAGA